CTTGGGGTTATGTGCGTGGCTCCCCTTCTTGATCCGCACTTGTATACACCATGCCTATTGTTATCGTGCAAACCGTACGTCAAAATATTTTTGCATATTATTACAACCTGGTCACATGTCTTGAACATAAAACTTGTTTTCCGCTATTTTAACCACGTTTAAAAAAGTCCCTAAAATATCATAATTTCACGGTAAGGGAAATTCGTGCGACATTTAGCGTTAACATTGCGACATTTAACGGCAAATGAATTTGCGACATTTAGCGGCGGTTGCGATATTTAGCGGCAATGGTGCAACATTTAGCGGCAAGTGCGACATTTAGCGGCGTTGTGACATTTAACGGCGCCACACTGTGTTTGTCACGCAGTAGAAATATGGTGATAAAGGCTGGAAAATCAGTCACCTATTTACATATAACATGCTCATTATTTCTTGAAGTATGAATATTTTTACTTGTCTTGAAATCTTATTACATTTTTCTCACCGAAAATTTCTTGGAATATTTTGGGTTTCTAATTATTTTCAAATCCACCTAATTTGTAGAAGAACAGATAATGGTACTATAAAGGGTGCAGAAAACGAAAAGGACCCGGTGGTTATGTGCGTTAACATAACGAGAAATATTAAAAATACATTAAGTAATTTTCCAAACTATTTTAAAAGTCCGAACGAAATACTCCCCACAGCGCTTGTTATGTAGTTATTTTCGGATTTTGTCAAAGATGAGAATTCGTTTATAACCAATAGTAAGGCCGGTTAAGTTATTAAATTATATGCTCTCATGTTCGATTCCAACTATGGTCACTGTCATGTTTCCTCACATGACAGAACCTTTAGTCCGAGCAGTGCACTCGAACATGAGAAATAAAAGTTGCTAGAACTCATTTCACAAGTGAGCTTAACTGAACTAATATATGATTATTATGAACTAATGGCAAAAGAAATCTCGCATAACAATCATGAAACAAAATTGATCAACATTTGAAATAGATATCTATTCTTTTTTCAAAATAACATCACTTTTATTTAAAAGTACAGTAAATGAGTAAAAATTTAATATTTGATATAGAAATCTTGGAGAATCTGATAGTTACAAATCAATGACAGCCATGTGAGATGTGAAACTTTATAGAAAACGATACTTCAACACTGTTGACTAGTTCTAGCAAACAAGTGTCCTTCATTATTAGGTCAATGAAACTGAAATCGATCCTGAAACAAGCATGCCCATTGACAATAGTGTTAAATTTCTCCAGCAATGTTAAAGTGATCACCCGTCAGAAAAATTAAACAACAATATTTCAACAGTAAAAACGAGAGAAGTTATTTTATCGAATTCAGAAGATAAATACTGGTTTTCGGATACTCGCGAACGCTTACCCGACGGTCAGATTCATAATGGTGGTTTGTAAAATTTTAGAGAACTTGACGACCAGTAATTATTGTGAAATAAAAACCGAAAGTGTTCAATCTCTTTTGTTTCAGTCATTTAAAGTGAGTTTTTAATTACGTTGAACTATAAGTGGCACTAATTGACATTCTGACATGATTTTCACGAGCGCACGGGTAAACACGCGTCTTGTTCACGCTGGTTACATTTTGTAATCTTATACTTTCATCTTAAAAGCAATTATTAAAAAGGTCAGGTGAAGAATTAATTTCTAAACCCATGTTGAAACAATAAAAAACGAGACAATAATAGCAATGTAATTTTGTTTTGTCGATTGCAAAATGAAAGTTTCACTGGTTGTAAAATGTTAGTCCAACTGGTTGCAACACATTAGTTTCGCCGGTTGTATATGCCAGTGTCTATAGTTGCAAAACCATAGTTTCATCGGTTGCAAAAATATCGTTTTGCGACCATGGAAACTGACATGCTGCAACATTGGAAGCTTACTTGCAACCATTTAAACTAACATGTTGCAACCAGTGAAACTATCATAAAGATAGTTGTTACATGTAAAATAAGGGTAAAATTGCCAAGATGTTAGTACACAAAATATCTTGAGTGTGTTTTAAAGAAAAGCAACATAAAAATTTCTTTCAGCCATATTATCAATTTAGCGGGCTAGAATATACATGTATACGTAATGCCCGTTAAGTACTGAGCAACATTTGAGATCTTCCCCTAGAAACATAACTGAAAGTCACCAAACTCCTTTAACTTAAACAGTCTTGGTATGAAAAAGTATAAAGATAACCGGCTGTCATATTTTTTTATAAAACAGTAAACTGTCAATTGATAAATTGCACTATTTACAAAAGAAACCAGATTACATGTATCTTCATAAAAGAATGTCAGACATATTTATAATATCAATCTGTTACCTATGACATCTGGCATCTAAGATATATTTTGTTGCCTTGAGACATTATCTTTCGTAATGGTTTTTTTATTTCTTTTCTTTCAAATTCAACATGTGTGTTTTCGAGACGTATCATATAACCACTGTCTGTAAATCATAGGGCTTTGTTATTATATAGTTCCAGAGGTTGAAGGAACTTTCGTGGCGAAAATTTAGTGCAGAAACTATGGTGGTGGAACAATGGTGAAAGAACTATGGTGGAGAAACAATAGCGGAGGAACTATGGTGGAGAAGCGATACAAAAGAGGCACTTTAGTGGAGAAACTTTTGTGGAGAAAGATAAACTATGGTGGAGAAGGATAAACTATGGTGAAATAACTATGAAGAATGGAATATTGAGGAGGAACTATGTTGAAGGAGGAACAATGGTGGAGGGACTATGGTGGAGTAACTATGAAGAATGGCATATTGAGGAGGAACTATGGTGAAGGAGGAGCTATGGTGTGGAGGAGGAACAATGGTGGAGGAACTATGAAGAAAGGAGTATTGAGGAGGAGCTATGGTGAAGGAGGAGGAACTATGGTGGAGGAACTATGGAAAGACATAACTAATAATTCTAATTAACCAAAACTTTATCCCTAGTAATACTGTGCATGTGGCAAAACTCCATGCATTATCCACTCAAAAAATGTTAAAGATACTGTTACATGTATCTCAGAAATATGTTAATTTCAAATCTTAAATTTCCGTATACATGTATTTCGCAAAGTTCTCATTGCTTTTGAGTGTGCCTATTCTTTTACGAGAAGATGATTTCCCATGCCCTTCGAATAAGAAGTACCTGTTATAACCTTCCGCGCTTCAGCACAAGACCTCACGGACTACATTTATTCATCGTTGAAAACGTGTCTGCATACACGAAACAGCAGTAAATCAGATTTCAGCAATAAACCAGAAGCAGGCCATGCTCCGTTAAAGTTCTGATTTATTTGAGGTTTTGACATTCGCACCAAGGTAACGCAATTGCTGTTCTGCCGAAGGAAAATATTTTGTATGTAGTTTAAATTAAAAGTAAATCGTGGCATTTAAGTAACTGCAGAGTCTTTTTCTCTAAACTGTTGACACAATATTTAAAAAGTATTGTTTCTAAAACATAGCTGTAAAACAGAATTCAATTTAGTTATAATCAAGGTCATTTAATAAATTTCATGAGTGTTTAGGTTTTATTGATTTTATAATTACATTTACCAGACACATGTTTAAAAAAAAGGTTTTAAATAAAAAAAATCTAAAACAGCCGTAAACCATAAGCTTGCTGGCACCATCAGTTTCTTTTCATGCGACAAATGCAGACCAAGATCATGGTCAGCACAGTTCGCTATTCAATCTGTATTTTTGTTTTAACGCGCAATAAAGCTGATTCGTCTTTTTCGCTAGTCTTCCTTTGAGGAGGGCGACTGCGTATATGTTATATCGGCTTGTCAGTCGTGAACGTTTTCATTTTATTTCACGAATAGAATATTTTTATATTACTTTCTTATATATCAATTAAGCTTACTCTTTTCTTTTTTTACATATATAAACTTATATAACAAACATTTGTATCACCTAGAAAGCTGAATCATATAAGATAAGGGATGCCTATAACCCAAGGTGGTGGTGGTATTGGTAGTTTTCACTCCGGATCATGACAGTAAGCAACATTGAATTTATCAGAGCACAGTTCAGCCACTGCGCTGTTCCTGGGCAAACTGTCATGCTGTTTACCAGTACTTTCGCAAGGAACTGAATCTTCTGTACACATAAGAGCAGAGGCACAGTGCGGATGACCATAGAAAGGATTCCATGATCAATCACAACGACCTGCAACGTCTGAAAATCAAGCTCGGGTCGCCTGATTCACAGTCCAACGCTCTACCTATTGAGCTAACCGGGTAGCTCTATAACCCAAGTACAGCTTCTGCATGTATTATTATTGATGAGCCAAGAGCGTGCGGAACAGATCCAGTAATCTGGTTAATTGCGGTTAGTTTAACTAGGTATATCCGTGCTACTTTGCGGTCACATTTTGTATTTTATCTCACCAAATGCTTTGATACGCAATATTGGACTTAAAAAATACAGAACGTGTCAAAATGGATAATGAAGATTTATGACATTGTGTTTTACCGCAAGATTGAGCGTGCGATAAAACGCGCCAATTCACAACTTATCTCTAAACCATCTTTCACATAATGTCATGTTACAATTAAATGGATTAAGCTCTCTCTTCGGGAAAATAAAACTGCCGCCCCAGATTTTATTTAATTACCTCTAACATTAATGCGAAAAGTGGGTGAAAAGCAGAACCACATAACACCTTAAGATACATTACTCGGGTTCGAATCCCAAACTTGCAAGTTAGCATTATGCGAGGACAGTGGTTCTGCTCAAATTAAACATAAATATGTGTTGTTTTTCCTTCCAATGAAGCTGGAAATACCAGAGTTACTTAAACCCAAACCAATAAATAAAATCAGAATTTATTAACTTCACTCAGCGCTAAGGGAAGCAAGTGGGTGTATGAAAATCGCGCCGTGTGTGTCAATGAGTTATCTTTCCTTTAACGCTCTAATACAGTAGGCCTATAATGACTTTTAAACATGTATAATTGGTCATGCGTGTACATCGATTAATTAAATTGGAAGACGGATACAAAATTATAACTTTTATTATGCAATGTTATATACATGGTAGTGAATAAATCATGTAACCTAAAATGGTTAACTTCAAAGGAAGTCTTTGTTTCTTAGGGGTTTTATTCCTGATTTTTTTCGCAAGGATTCCTCAATCAACCATTTTAGGTCACGTGATTTATCTTACAGCAACAACATCATAATCAACATAGATACAAATAACAAATCCATATTCTTTTGATAATAAACAAATACACATAAAAAACTAGACAATTTGAAAACAATTAACACTTTTAAGTGTCATGACTGTATACTAAATAAATAACATGAAAAGCATTGATACTTAATTTTACAATAAATTGTTTTTGTAAAACATAATATTTTTCCAAGAAAAAAAACATAAAATTCATCGTTATAATTAATAGAAAAAAGTTAAAACAAACATATCTGCCAATCACCAGAGCAGAGTAACACCAAGTTGGAGTCAGTACCTCTATATCAAAATGCGCAAGGTGCCTACGGTTTAACATGTGACTGGACAAAAAGTCTCTAGTACGAAACCGAGCAATGGCATTTTTTTTTAAAGAATAATCCCATCATTTAGTCCCACCTTTCAAAAACTGTGTTTATATTCAGCTATTTAATTAATTTGAACTGATACAGCGTTTCAATTAGATTGAAGAAAAAAAGTTTCTTGATGAAGAGTATACATAAGATATTATTTATATATTTTTTCAAAAAGAATTATGCATTAGAAATAAATTATTCAAAATGAAAAGTGTGTTTGTAAGAATGAATAATATCATTCTTTAAACTACATATAATAAAAAATCTCAGGTTGATGAAAACTTAATTCACAAAACATGAAATGACTGACACATAATTATGTACAGATTTTCTTTCTACATCATGTATTATACGGTCATGTACACTTTTTCTACGAACACAATAATAACTGTCATGAACACAATACACAATAATAAATATTTAGCACATATATTTGTGGAGCCATTAATTTAATGCCTCTTTGAATTTTGATGAAACAATATGTGTGAAACATGAATACATTAAGTACATAAAAGTTTTTTAAATGCCCATTATGTCTCAGAAATATGGTGATTTTCATTTTTATCTGATTATTTTTTATATTTTGTTACAGTTTCCAAAAAGATAATTATTTGCTATATGTATGAACTTTCTTTTACATCTTTAGTTCTGTTGGCAATTTGTATAATAAATACTGAATAAGTATTTTGTATGGAAGTCAAAATATTACTTTGTTTACATTTTGCTACCATTACGCCACATAAATGCATGTTTAGCGCTACTTTTATCAGTTATAATTCATGCACTTAATTCATTATTTAAAAATTATAATACATGTACATTTCTAAAAAGTCTTTAAAAATGATAGTATTTCTTAGACATATTGAGCCTTTAAAATCTGAGTTTGTGTATACATGTAATGCCGCCCAATTATAGTAACTTTTTACAGGTCTGTATCATACAAAAATTGTATCTGTTAATGCACAATCCATCCTGATCTTTCTTATTATTCTTTAAATAGTCAAAACTGTTTTGAATTTAGAACTTTCCATTGCTAATCATGGGTATTCCAATATAAAATGCGGAAATTAAGAAACAAACATAATCCAGTATGATCAGACTGTATAGATGTGTCGGTTGGTGGCCTGGCTATGCAGGTGAAACTGTATTATTCCAGTGGTATTATCATTTACAATTCAAAATTTTGTTAACCAGTACATCCAATACAGTGCCAGATTTAATTACACTTGTTTTGATCCTGAAATATCCTTAATCAACAAAAGAACGTTCCAAATCCCAAACTGAACAAGTTCATTATACAAATTCTGCACATAAATGTTAAAACCATAATACACATATGTACACATGTGTTGAATATGAAAGACAACACATATACATGAAATTATTTCATGTGTTTGTTTAATTTGGTAAAGTAAAATAACATCCAGCTACAGTTAACACAATCGTCATATGTATAATGTATCAATACTGCTTAAATGATTCCAACTTAAATATCATCCCTAACAAAAGCACATGAAAGTCTTCGATCTCATACGCAGTTGTGTCCCCCTATCTGTACAATCTCTCAAGGGAGGTAATCACTGTAAGTCTTATGAAAACAAATGAGACAATATTCTGAATACTATCAGCAACTCACTTATAGCACAAATGTTTGCCACTTGTTCAATCATTATTTTGTCAGTTGTTATTGGTTTCATCCTCATTAGTATCAGTGTCGTTGTTTGTCCGTACGTCCGTGTATGTCGTACCAGCATACACGTTAATGTTGAATCGCAGAGGAAATGCTGAAGACTCCACTGACAGGGTTCGTTGCTGAAGTTAAATATACAAAACACATGTATACGATTTCTACACATGGAATTATATAAGCAAATGTTAAGGATAAATCAAAAGCGTAAGGACAATATGTCCAGGAATATATTTCTGACCTCAGTGAATGATCACCATGACTTTATCTTGGATAAAGACTGGACTTGTAACTGTACTAATTTATAACAGTAATTATAGGTATACATCTTTGAAATAAGTAGAAAATGTACATACTGGTTGGTTAATATATTTCTACTTTTTTCGAAGAATTACACGGTGTTGGCTTGGATAGCACCATAGCCAACTGCCTGTGACATAAAGATGACCAAATTTTTTTAATTGTGACAAAAAAATCTCTCAAAGATAAAGATTTCATCTATTAAAGATATCTGTAGAGAAATAATATCAGTCAGTACCAAGCGTTGACTAGAAACGACTTATCATGATCAAACATTTGTCAGCAATCTCATCATCTACCGGAAGTGCAATACTTACCCGTCGTCTGCTAATGTGGAAGTTAAAGAAATCGTCACTAAGACGCCGTAGTTCCCTGCCAACCTCTTGCTCACGTAACGCACGTACATTTGGCATTGAATGAGATCGGTCACGTGACAAATGATCAACAGAAGTATGACTAAGAACCTGAACTGTCGAAGCTGCTGCAAATAAAAAGAAAAAAGAAATGGTAAATAAAGTGTCAATATACATAATAATATATATGTGAATTTACAGTACAGCGTTCACATCAAATATTGGATATAAATAGACTAGGAAAGGACCATTTTATATGAAGTGTTGTCATTAAGATTTTTCTGAGAATATGATGCAGTTATTTTTAGTTTTATTACAGAAATATGTTAGGCCCAAAATGCACTTGAGACAGCCATTTTGGCCTCCTGTCGCCCCTTAATGACAAATGTTTATGACCCCTTAATGTCATATGGAAATGAATATTAGAAGACTTTCTAAAATGGAACCCCAGAACAAATTGTTTGAGCCAATAACTTATTGTCCTTACTTGGACTAGGGATGATAAAGATCGGGAAACATTTTCACAATGTTTAGACACCGGACTATTTAACTTCCCCTGGAAATTCGTTTACGACCAACGCTACTAGGCCTACTAGAAGTTGACTTCTTATTTTGAACAGCTACTTGATTTGTATGCTATGGCTAAACGTCATGTTACGATATAGTAATTTAAACATCTTTAAACTTAAAACTGTTTTAAACAAATCAAAACCACACAATGATATCGTGACAAAAAACTTTTATCAGTGAGACCTTGAACTTTAAAATGACATAATTTGAAGTGCGGAAAACCGCAATTTACATCTGAAGTGTGTCAGTGCATTAAAATGATAAAGACATAAACTTCAAAATAGCGTTTTCAGATAAACAAAAATGTTAGATCGTTCATACAAATGTTCATATTTAAAAACCAAACGCATATACAACTTTTAACATTTTATAACATTTTAAGATTTTGCTCCTTTACTGGTTCATTAAAAAAAGAAACAATATGAAAGGAACTTAAAAACTGGTAACACTTTCAAGCATCATTGTTATCTAAAAATTAAAAAGGAATTACCTGAATTTGAGGAATTGTTCTGTAATGCTATCTCGGAAGGTGTTGTATTTCTTAATTTTAAAGGTTTCAACACTGCAGGTGTTGACCCGTCACTTTCACGAGAACGCTGATCCCCGCCTGTCGCAATATTTAATAAACACGGAAGGGGAGCACTAGGTCTTTTTATAATCTCTCCCTCGGGTGATACAAATTGATTACAGTCACTGTTATTTGCATTAATATCCCTAACCTCCTCGTCATGCTCGTCTAGCACAGATTCAGGTTCAGTGTCACTTCCAATGTCTACATTATTTTTAGGATCCACATGAATATCTTGTAATCTATGGGATAAGTCAATCATCTCTACTCTCGTTCTTGTTGAAACATTTCCGCCAGGTACCATGTCGTCATTAAAAACGAACTGACGTGATGACGTGTTAGACGACGGTGACGGCGAATAATCCGTCCCGTAGCCGCTATCTCGTCCGGTTCTAACCAGCGGGAACCGGTTTAGTGCGGCTGGAGTGGATGGAGATGAACTCGGTAGGCTGAGTACGGATGGAGATGAACTCGGTAGGCTGAGTATATTGCCATCTTCGCATGTGGCGGTGTCAGGTTTGAGCTTCTCAGGCTCATTTGTGTCGACATTCTGTTGTTGCATCATCATGACTACATCACAATTTAAACAATTCCTTGATAAATTTCCTGTCACTTTTTAAAGCGCTTCGAGTGTTTTTGCCTGTGAAATATAATTAAGAACGACGTAAATTTACATACTCATTGAAATTCAGGTAAATTATTTGGCAGCGTGAATCATTTTATTCGCATTCGATTATATTTGATTACCTAATCAAGGTGATGAGGTTATCAATATAAAGGGTTAAAAATACTCTACATCTATTTATAAATGTGTTCAAATATTTCACGACAACTGTTTATTTATTATTAACTGATTACAGTACCCTGTGAAATTCTACAAATTTAAAAATGATAATATGTGACTTTCAATTATGCTGTATTAAACATATTTAATAAAACAATAGTTCAAATGTCCTAACCTGAAAAGTAGTGTGCTATTTTCAACGCCTCGTGCAATACTGTCAATATTTACTAGTCACGCAAGCTACTGTTTTTTGATTGGACGCATTAAATTATTTAATATAGTGAACCAATAAAAATCCGTTATGGTTGTCAAGTCTAAACATGTCGCGGGTATCGGGATTTTCCAAATTGCTATATTTAGAACTACGAAATAGGCCGCGTGCTACCAAATATGGTTTAAAAATCGGCGGTAACGTCAATATGTTAATTTTACTTAGTATGCTATTTTACATGTCTTTTAAAGCTTTAATTACTTCAAATGCATAGGCTATATGTAGATCTACCTATTTATTTTTGAATGCGTAACAGATCTGATAATTGCGTTTTTTTCCTTACAAACCGTTTTGCGTCTAATCACGGAGGAAAATTACATTTAAATATATCCATTATATAATGTAATTCTCTAAACTGAAACTGATTACGAAACTAACCACAAACTACTTGATTTAGCTCCACAAGTTAGTCTTCTGTGTCAAAAACTTATAGGGCATTGCAACACTAAAGTTATAAATAGGGATACAGGTCCATAATGAATATTTTTGTACAAAAATAAGATTTTGAAATAATTTATTCCGAGACTGAAAGAAAATAATTTAGCAAGGTCTTCATAAAAAAGTACAAATACCTAAAGGACAGCATTACGACAGTAACTCGCGAGTGTGGTCTCTGCAAAACACGTTCTGAATATGTAGTGTTGCAGAATAAATACAACGTGACTTTTACCCTATTAGGCGTCAAAGCGAAAAGATTTGCTGTTGCACGCAATATAACGTATCTAGAGCTTTGGTGATTTCCCCCTATACCAAGAGGAGTCGTATTGTTGGACAATTCCAGAAGCTGTTCCCCGTCTGCGCTTTGCAACTCGAACATGTGCCCCATTAACTGTTTCAATTGAGGGTAAAATTGAAAAAGACATTTGCATATCTTACAGTGACTTTTCATATTTGATTTCCCCCAAATAAAAGCCGAACAATTCGACTAGGCAGGCGCCTGGTTGCCTATCACAGGCACTAGACACAATTAATTTACCTCTATATGCTCATAATACTATATATAAAAGGCCTAGTATTATGAGCATATAGAGGTAAATTCATTGTGGCTAGTGACTGTGGTTGCCTATCACTACTGTCTTTTTCAAGTGCCCCAGCGACGGATGACTTTTATCATGTACGCATATTTCAATCTTTCTTAGGCGAGCTGCTGACACCAAAGAAAATAGATCGAAGGCTTTCATACAGTTCTGTCGAAATTTTGAGATAATTATTTTGTCATACACTTTGGCGTACTTATAAAGTACCATTGTAGCGATGCCATGGTGATAAGGCGGAAAATAGTAAATAAATAAATAAATGAATAAATAATAATAATGATAATAATGATAATAATAATAATAATGATAATGATAATAATGATAATGCTGAAACATTGAAATTGACCATTAAGATCTATATAAAGTTAAAGGAAATAACATAAGAATTGTCAGAAATACAAATATTATTGCATCAACCCTCGTATACATGTGCCAGTAAGTCTTATTGTTATCCGATAAAAAGTTAAATGTCTTGAATTTCTTTTTACAGAAAAATACATAACGCATCGTTACTCGTGGAGCTTCCGGGCTGATAAAATGATGTAATTGAAGAATTTACGTCATCGCTTTGCACTCGTTTAGGCGTCATGGTCAAGTGGTTAAAGACGTTGACGTATGTATGTGTAGTAGTCCTGTGTTTATGAGGGTTCATCCGCCTGGTAAGGCACAAAAGCAAGTACGAACCCTGGACATGTCACCAGTCATGCCCTTAAAGAGTTAAGCACGAAGTGGTGATAATTTACCTCCATGCAATTTCCACGGAGTATTAGCCAAAGACATGAATTTCGAGCCAAATGTATGTCACTGTATTGCGGTCAATGAGAACCTAAATGTACAGTTATCCGAGACAATAATGAAAGGAGGTAGACCTTAGAAAGGCTGTTGGTGCCAAGCAAAGGGCCTGCCTTACAAGCCGTCTATCTGTGCTAGGGGCTCGCGCACTCTAACACACCATCCTCGTGGTCTCTGCCCTCATCGTAGGGCCACTCCCCTCGGCTTTAGTCAGGTCATCGTCAGCTGATCCCCAGTTGTTGGCGAAGTAGCAGTCCCGATAACGGTCAGGGTAAAATCTTCTGCCGATGCCCTGTGCCTCTTCAGAGACGTGCACGCACCGAGGGGAAACGTGAAGTAAAGTCGCTGACTTCAAACCACTTGCCCCTCATACTCTGGGTTAGTATCCAGCTAGTGCCTTTGAATTATTTCAAATGAGGAAGCTACCCAGCTACCTTTCGGAATCTCGGTGGTTCTACTCAGGTGCCCGCTCGTGCCTGAAAGAATGCTTAAAGGGGAACCGAGGTCTTTCTTAATCAGTCAAGCTGGTAAGTCGACAAAAAATTATTACATGTACATGTAGCTTAGAAATCAAATAAAAAAAACATTTGGTCACTACACTCCGGTGTACTGTCAGCACGCATATTAAATAAAATAGCAGGGTTCAAACTCTAAAAACTTTCTACAAATCTTTACTTCTGCCTTCAAAACCGTATCAATGGTTTGATTAGGACACAGTTATTGAAGGGACTGGTCAGTGTGGCAAATTATCTCAAAGGCGCTTGAATTAAAAAACCATGGCAACATATCTCAGAGGCGCTTGAAATTAACCATGGTAACACATTTCAAAGGTGCTTGAAATAACAAACCATGGCAACATATCTCAAAGGCGCTTGAAATAACAAACCATGGTAACATATCTCAAAGGTGCTTGAAATAACAAAACCATGGCAACATATCTCAAAGGCGCTTGAAATAACAAACCATGGCAACATATCTCAAAGGCGCTTGAAATAACAAACCATGGCAACATATCTCAAAGGCGCTTGAAATAACAAACCATGGCAACATATCTCAAAGGCGCTTGAAATAACAAACCATGGCAACATATATCAAAGGCGCTTATAAGAACAAACCATGGCCACATATCTCAAAGGTGCTTGAAATAACAAACCATGGTAAAATATCACAAAGGCTCTTGAAATAACAAACTATGGCAAAATATCTCAAAGTCGCTTGAAATAACAAACCATTGAAATCATAATTACTTAGGTATGCTTCTCATGACTGCTATTCCTTATATGACTCAACAACAGAGGTCCAATAAGCTAATTTCAAGTTGAATTAAATAATGACATTAAAGATAAAAGACTAACATTTTTTAAATTAAGATATTCTATTTACTTCAAATTTAACATAAAAAGTACATTTTTTACAAAAAAGAAAAAATCTTAAATATTATAGAGATTTCAAGCAATATTTTATATAGTGATTAATACATGTACAACACACTAATATAACACACAAATTTGACCTTGTCAAAAGTTGGTTAGTCACATTGTCACTTTTTGGTCATATGGCAACATTCAGCTTTACTGATAAAACTAAGGAAGACCTATGGCATCAAGCCATGAATTATTTCAGGCACAAGCAAGCTCCTGAGGAAAAAGAAATAGTAATTGTTCAATAATCTACCTTGACAGTCTTCTTATGAGCATGAATTTATGAACAAGTACCTTTGGTTTTAAACAGGGATTTAACTCACAATACGAGTGTTGGAGCAGTACCTTTAGACGCTTGCAGAAATCATGTTCACAAAGAGGACAAATATCACTTTTTTCGCAAATTCTTACATTTTACATTCATGATTGTATGTAAATCAGTTTGAAGAGATGAATTTGACGTCTAACAGTGTATTTTGGCGGGTGAAAATGGGAGACTAGCATATTATCATTCAAGTGTCTTGTCTGGTACATACTGGAATACAATATTAAGACTTTAGTCTCACTCACTTGACTTTAGTCTCACTCACTTAACAGCATTAGTAACTATCCACAGTGAAAAAGAAACCTGTAAACAAAATTAAAATAATTTATTTAGTAAATATAAATTAACTAGTGTTTATATCTCACTTACTCCTAGTAGCACCAATGAATGATGTTGCTGGACTTTATTTTATGTAATACATTGTGATTCACTTTAAAACAAGATGTTATCACTAATTCTAACATTGCCTTCTAAATACATGCAATTAAAGATTTGCGGTTACATTGCCTGACATAAATGCCGCTTTTACGTTAATAAAAACTTATGTATAGACTTCTACCGGTATAATGTTCTGAAAAAAAAAATCCCAACAAAAAACAAAATATTTTATAGATCAGTTTGAAATATTTTTTAGTTCTTAGTTTCAAGTGTTTCAATTCTTTAAGATTATAAATTCATGTACTTCATTAAATGCTTGACTTTTTAAACATTTTCAGCAACATGAATGTAGTAGTGTGATGTTTAACTCACTGTATCTGCAACAATGCCCACTTTGATTTAAATATGGTGGACAAGAAAAATGAAAAATTTTTTGTAAATAAATCCCTGAAGCATCTTGATTGCATTGGATAATATTCACTAACACCTGTCAATATCTCCATATATAAATGCCATGCAAGTATAATAATTTGATAGCACAAGGCTATTGAGTGTATTCAGCTGTTTGTATCAATCTCTATCCAAACTCATTTTATAAGCACAACATTAAAACTTTTCCTCCATCAAAGTTTCTTCGGCTTTTTCAATTGCATATATTATTATATAATACTAAATAGCAACAGCTATCATGAGGTCGCTATATCTTCACTTGACAGTTTTTCAAATTCATCGGAACTTTCATATTTACTAGGCTCGTTAAATTTGTACTGTTCGTATATTGGATCAAACAGACTCCTACAGTCCACTTGAGCGGCTAACTTAGTACACAGTAAGAATGATCCGGCCATTTTCCGATGGAGAGAGTATGTTTCCTCCGGTGGAGGCGTCAGTCTGTGTGTCATCATTACCGGGATAAGGTTGTGTATACGACGTGTCGTGTCTTGTTTGGAGAAATCGAAAGGACCATCACTATGGAAAGCTTCTCCCAATATCATTACAGCATCAACATGAGCTTTTTCCATTTCCTATATATATACAAACAAGCCATTTAGTTAACAATGTAAATGCTTATTTGAGTTTATTAATACACACCACTGGTTGCCCTTATGGGCAAGTTCTCTAGAAGAGTATTAGTATTTTTTATTACAGATTTGAGGATAGTGCAAGATACACATACAGCAAGATGCCCCAATTCCAGAAGCTTCCCCTGCCAAGTGTTTACGTACTCAAACACAGGACCTTGATTCAAAGTCTCATCACAAAGACTGATAAGTAATTTTAGTTGGCCAGCCCAGGAATAAAACCCACAATGACAAGATTACAAGACCCACGCTCTAACCAATAAAGCTATGCAATCTGGCACAATGTGAATAAACTTATTCTGGTAATTTATAGTAATTAACTGATTGATTTTTGTTCAGTTATGAATGCAATCTATGATTTGTCAGGCCATCTGCTTCATTCAAGTATTTCGACAACAAAGTCGAACATATTAATCAAGGAAAGTTCCGCAATGGAAAGTAAGATAGGTCCATTATTTAAATCTGGTAAAGTAAGTGTTAAAATAATTGATACAATACACCAAACATCACTAACATATTTCCTGTATTCATTAACAACATCTAATATATCATGGAATTGCCATAAGGAAAGATAGTCTGGTTAATCAATAGGCAGTTATACAAACAACAAACAATATCTTTATATGTGCTACAAATTGAATAATACACCTTTAATCAGTTAAACATTATTTCAATGTTAAAGTATTTAAATCCATAATATGTAGATCTACAAACCTTTGTTTCATATCCAGTAAGAAAGCCTAGGTCTTGTGAATATTTCAGAACGCCATCTCTATCATTGTCTGCAGCTGCCTTTATAATGTGGATATACCCATCTACAAACCTTGTGCTGAAGTCACGAGTTGCCCCAAAATCTAGCAGCACAATCTGTTGAATAAATATAAATATCATTCCTAACTTGATTCTGTTTCTATCAGTGGATATCAATTTTCATTTTCACACATTTTTGTTCCCTACCTGCATACTATATGCATTTTACTTTAGAATATAAAAGCATCCAGTTCATCTAAAATTCAGGATTTTCCTGAAGTAACTTACACAAATAACAACTTTACAAACTAGGAGAATTTTTGTCACAAAAACATATGTCTTCCATCACTATGTATGGTCACTCCAGTAAAGTTTGGTTGAAATCCCATCAGTAGTTTGACCTGTGAAGGCTGGACAAGATTTTTCTATTTTAAGCTCTGGCTGGCATTTTGTGCAGCAAAGCAGAACGTACCAGCAATGGGCACAGCAAGGGATCCCACCAGAAGTTTGACCTGTGAAAGTCGGACATGATTTTTCCATTTTTAGCTCCGGTGGCCATTTTGTGCAGCAAAGAAGAACATGCAAGTGATGTGCATTACAAGGGATGATACTGATCACTCCTGTAAAGTTTGGTTGAAATCCCACCAGTAGTTTGACCTGTGACTGCCGGACAAGGTTTTTCTATTTTTTTAGCTCTGGCTGTCATTTTGTGCAGCGAATTTGAATGAGCCGATGATATGCACAACAAGGGATGATAGACGGACAACCAAAATTTTGGGAGATATAATAACTGCATAATAGATACAAGTCTACATTTTCAAAAAGTGTCATTCGAAAAGCATTTATGCAAATGGTAAATCATCACTAGATTGGAATAGCCTACAGACCAACACTGTTTTGATGTCCTTTCATCTCACTTGGAATTAAAATATGTCTTGATTTGAGTGCTTTGTGACATAACTTTGAAAAGTATGTCATTCAGATGTTTGTTATTAATCACTCAGGCAAAGATTATATCACAAAGCGCTAATCCCAATACTGTGCTACATGTATATAATCAACAACAATTCACTCAAAATCAAACTTTTTTCAAAATAACACATGATTTATCCTTCAAATGCTTCATAATTATTCATTCAGGCCAAATAATTGCCTTGTAAATGAATAAATGCACATCTGAACTCAAATAAGAATCAAATTTGATCAAAGACACACAATGCAAAGCCCACCACAGACTCAATTGATTATGCTTTCCTAAACTTGAATGATATTAATTCTATATTGAAGTGAAAATTACATACATGTATAGTACATTAATATTTTATAATTCTAGAATTTATTTTTTCTCAATTATATTATTTTTAACACTAAGAATAAGTCAAACTTTATTTATTAGTGAAGCTGCATTCATCTTATTTGAAGATATTTACCTTTTCAGTTGCTGGATTATAGAAGAAATTGGACCAGTTTGGATCTGTTTGCATGAGTTTAAACTCAAACAATTCTTTAAGGCAAAGTCCCAGTAACTTTGTTCCCAACTGTAAAATTGATTAAAAAGTTTACATAAATCATAGGTCTACAGAGAATCATGATTTACTTCTATTTACTTTATTGTATGTGTAAAAAATGTACACAGTTTGAAAAAACACTAGAAATCAAAAACTTTATGCAGCAAAATATATATTTCATGAACCTTGAAAACTGCAACAATTTGATACATGTTAACCAGAAATATTGAATTTGCTGAATGGACAATAACTCTTGAACATGTAAGCGCTCATCTAAAATTATTTAGCCTTCTGTATCCAAATCTAAAAGAAACCATGTATTTCTAAACAAATGGGTTACAAAATTAACAAGAGCTTTTGGCAAAGGGGCAAATCTCACAGTAATTGCCAGAACTCTGTACTCTGTGGGCAGTGATGGTCATTTACAAGTTGTATCAATTTCAATGCAATATCTCAATATCTTTTATTAAAACATAAGTGGTTGAAAATCATAACCAAGATGTGAATCTAATGAAGACACACATACCAACGCCCAGGACAGATGAATAGCTTGCCTTATGTTCCAAGAGCATCTGTACGCAGTCAAGCCAAAAAGAACTTATTAAGACATGATGAATGTGTAATTGATGTAACCAGAGATGGAGCCCACTAGTTTAATACATACCCAGTTTCTAGTATCTTGGTCCAGTTCAAATGTTCTGTCTAACGGTAGACCCTCAACATATTCTGTAGTTAACACTTGACTAGTTGTAAGCTCGTCTATGTTCGCTGGTATATAGAAAGCTGGATCGTCCTTCAACAATTCCCTGTAGAGGTATCATAACACATTAACAAAGTTTTACAAGCTGACACCAAAAATAATTTCACACAAAACTTAAAATATGTGCTGTTTATTTTTGTTTTTAGGCCAAATCTACTTAAAGTGTGTAAAAAACTCATGACAAACCATAACAATTTTTAAGTGATTTTAATCAGTTATTCATTCTTTTGCAATAGTAAGATCCTTTATTTTTTAACAAAAACAAAATAAACTAGACCTATCACTGAAGGTGATAAATACCCCCACCAGCAACTTTTTGAAAAATAAGTAGTCTGAAGAAAAATTTCAACACAAACTATCAACTGTGTACAAAGAAATATTTCAATTAATTGATATCCCAACTGGGGTCTCCAAATAAGCTTGCTTTTCACAAACATTGATTACAATATCTCATTCCTAACTCTGGTTATTGTCCGGAAACCATTTTTCTATTTTGAGGAATGGTGACCTTGACCTTGACCCCAGGGGGTCCAAATGCAATACCAACCCAGGTCTTCATATAAGCTTGCTATACACCACGTTTAATAACAATATCTCATTCCTAACTCTAGTTATTGTCCGGAAACCATTTTTCTATTTTTAGTAACGGTGACCTTGACCTTGACCCCCGGGGGTCCAAAAACAATACCAACCCAGGTCTTCATATAAGCTTGCTATACACCAAGTTTGATTACAATATCTCATTCCTAACTCAAGTTATTGTCCGGAAACCATTTTTCTATTTTTAGTAACAGTGACCTTGACCTTGACCCAAGGGGGTCCAAATGCGTAACCTCATATAAGCTTGCTATACATCAAGTTTGATAACAATATCATATTCCTAACTCTAGTTATTGTCCGGAAACCATTTGTCTATTTTTAGTAACGGTGACCTTGACCTTGACCCCAGGGGGTCCAAATACAATACCAACCCAGGTCTTCATATAAGCTTGCTATACACCAAGTTTGATTACAATATCTCATTCTTAACTCAAGTTATTGTCCGGAAACCATTTTTCTATTTTTAGTAACGGCTGCCCAAATGCAATACCAACCGGAGTTTCCACATAAGGTTGCTATATACCAAGTTTGATTACAATACCTCATTCCAAACTCTTGTTATCGTCCGGAAACCATGATGTGGACCGACAGACGGACGGACCACCGACCGACAAGCTGACTCCTATATACCCCCCCTAAACTTCGTTTGTGGGGGTATAAAAAATACGTGTTTTATTCTTTTTCTTGTGTTGTGCAATATGTACAATATGTTTTTTGTTTGCTTCGTTTTCTTTTGAACCAGTGCACTGCTAGTGGTACTACCCTTCTTCTGTTAGCAACATATTTTCATTAATAATCAAAGATAAAAAGGGAAATAACTCCAAAAATAATGCTTAAAGAACAATGAACATTTTATTACAATTAAATCATATCATAATTATTAGGTACTCTTAAGTATCGTGTTAAACTGTTTAAGATATTCAATGGATTTGATTTACTTTTTCGCATGAGAATGATGTTGGAACAGCAATCATAAAACACAGCTGTAAAGAAATGAACGATTATGTCAAGTACCTTAACAGTTTGCACATTTATGTCAGTTATTTTACCTACTAAACATTTAATATTCAAGTTGGTAATTTAATATGCATGTAATGTTAATAATCTGTAATATCTATAACAGTTACCTGAATTGTTTGCTACAGTCAGCTTCTCTCATATAATCTACTTCCCATGCTAATTCTTTCTTTGCAACTTCTATAACACTGTCTACATACAAACCTGGAAATATTGTAACATAATATTTCTACTCATATATCTACAGAACATTTCATATGTTGGACTTGTAATATTAACTTATGTGTAGCTTTTCATAAAAAGCAGTTTTAAAACCTATTAACGGTATTTCAGGGGAGTCTTAGTTTTCTGAAAGGCTTGCCTTGATAATTTACTAAAATTTCAACAAAAAGATTAATAACCAAAAATTTAAGACATAATTAAAGTTTGTGTGTATAGCAATAGACATGAATTGAAAGCATTGATGACAGTTCGTCATAATATAAGAATCTTTCACCGGCTGCCGGTACAGACCGGAATATCTAGCTCGAGGGTGATTGTTAAAGGGGGTAACTAGGCTCTGCCGAGTTTCTGCTAAACAGTTACCCGAGAGCTAGATATTCCCGTCTGTACTGACAGCCCGTGTTTGATTCTTTTTCTTGCATAATTTATAGCATATCAATTATTTTAATAACAGAAATTATGAAAACTGATATTCTCATTACGCACTTTTTTCTTATTGAAGCGTATGAACGTACAGCTTCATTCATGACGGTTAAGTGACGTCATCCTAAGAGCGCAATTCATTCATAAAAGGCGCGCAGAAATGACGTCATTTAAAGTACGCGACTTGTCTTACATGGGGGGTGTAAGACAGGGTTTTCTAGCACCAGTGTAAACGGTAGATAATCCTGTCTGATATGCAAGAAAAACCATTATTACACATTTTTGTTTTATTCTTATACACTGTACTTGAAAATAAAAAAATTCAAACCTTAAACAATATACAGACTACATTTTGTCCTTTTTGATATACACTCTCCTATTAGTATACATAATTATACTAAAGTAGTAATTTGTGGAGTTTATTTATCAGAAATAAGCAAATACCATTTTTAATTGAAAGAGTAACTATTAAGCTTAACTTTATAATAATATTACATAAACATGCTCAAAGTCGGTAAATAACAAAATAAAAATTTAAAAAAAAAAAAATCCTGAATTCCTCCATTTAGCAGTTTTAGAAAATGGTTTTATGAGGAAAAAAGAAAGTTTAGTTGAAAATCCTGAAATTATGTCATCTTCCTGAAAACTTATACACCACACAATGATCAAGGTAAATACAAACCTTTAGGTAAAACATTCCAGACTGAGAGGACAGACATTAGATTGTTGATATCACTCTCTATACTTTTAGCTACACCAGGATACTGAAATATAACAAACATTATCTTCAAGTCATTTAAAACCCTTCACTTCCTAAATTTGTGCAATAGACTGGTAAAGCTTTAAATCTGGACCTGCCTATTTGTAATTTTAGGGATATCAGCATCAAAAATGATAAACAATCAATATTTAAAACATTCAATATTTGACAGTAAAAATTCCAGTTATTTATGTGTTAAAAGTATATAAATATGTATAAATATGCAGACAGGTCTGATACTATGGTGATCATAGGGTCATTAGCATTTCAACTAAAATTCAAACAGTGAATAAGCTAATGTATAATGAAAGCCAAATATTTTCTCTTAATCCAAAACTCATCAATGCCCATTTATCTGATTTACTGACCACTTAGTTTATGAGCCTATACCAATATAAACAGTTATCAAAATCAAACCAGAACAAGAACCAGAACTCTTACCTGAATTTTTAACGCCACTGTTCTGCCGTCATGCAGTACACCTTTATGTACCTGACCAATAGAAGCTGCAGCAAATGGCTTTTCTTCAAAGCTTGCTAATTTGCTTTTCCAATCTGAACCAAATTCTTTCTTCATCACCCTCTAAGATATTAGCAAATCATTAAGAAATTTACGAAATTTTTATATATATTCATATCATATTATTATCAATAATGCATGTTTGCATTAATTTTCTTTGGACAATCATGATGTTAGTATTCTATTTGCATGTACAAACCTGTTGCAATTAATTATCACTTCAATTAATTTAACACTATTATGCCGACCACCTGACTGTCCCTTTAACTATCAGGTAAATGTACAGAGAACCAGTCCAAAGACTTCTTTAAAATAGCTTGATAGATCCCTTTCATGAAAACATTACAAGTTGCTTGTGAACCAGAAACAAGATATGGCAAATCTATTTTTTATTCATAATAAGTTTACTTTCATCAACATTTATATAATTGACACATTCCTATTTTAAACAAATCTATATCGTACAAAATAATCTTGATGTATTTTCTTAATACATGTATATCAGGTTATAAGGCCTGGCCTACCTCCATTTGCCACACTGGCATAAAATCAGCACTCTGTCTAACACGTTCTAAAATCTTCTGTAATTCTGGGCTTATCATTGAATCGTCTACAATCAAGTAACAGGCAAAGTTGTAAGTCAATCAAAAACATGTTGTGCAAATAATAGACAAAGTTGTAAGTCAATTAAAAACATGTTGCGCAAATAATAGACAAAGTTGTAAGTCAATCAAAACATGTTGTGCATTGCTGCAGAATTAACAATCTAAAAAATCCTTATTGTACTTCTTTTCTTTGATGATCTTGTCAAACAGTTACTGCACAAAGAAATATTCAAGGTTTACTTTACTCAGACTGCAATGACGTACAGATTTGTGTAGCCTAATATCCAAAGCAGCATTTTACGAGGTAACGATTAGAAAAAAGCAAATTGTATATACATATAGATGTAAACCATACTTATCATCCTCTTGCATACATATTGATTTATACTCATTAATAGCTACTTTTTATCTCATTACACAAGTACAGGTTCTTCATTTGAAACAAACTTGAAGATTTCAGGAAAACTTTGATGTACCTTGAATACTAAGCATCTGTCCAAGTTTTAGGGCAGCTCCTCTCACTCTACATAGAGTATCCACAATCAGGTTCATGTTTGCTTCACTCATGTACGAGGTTTGATTTTGCATTACAACCTCTCCTGCTTCTGTAAAAAATATACAAAATTTTGTCATTTCTCAAACATAATTTACTTTAACAAAAAAAAATAGTTGTCTCCCTTTCCCTTAAAATTGTAATTCATGCAAAGAAACTTTGAATATCAAACTTGTATTATGTCCCTTGTTAAGGTAATGATATTACTAATACCATTTTACTTCCAAATCTAGTCAATGAACAACAATGGCCTATAATATTTCAATTTCGTCAAAAAATACTATAGAAAATGGAAAAACCAACAAAAGCAGTTATCTTATTCTGTCTAACATCTTGATGGTCTAAATCTTGTTAAATCTGTCATAATTAAGATAGTTGTACCTGATACAGATGGTACATTCAGTCCTAAAGTCTTCTTTGCTGCCTCTGATGCTACACCAAATCCTAGCCCAGCTGCCATCCCTGCAAATTAACAGCTTTTATTTAACAGATGGAATAGTCTTACATTTATGTACACCAAAATTAGAAACTATAGTTACATAAGATAACTGTTTGATTTACAAGTCAGGAATATGTACAGTTTTAGGGATAATAAAAGATTTGATTGCTATTGATATACTTATTATACAACCAGATTTTAGAGCAAACAATTTACAGATAAAATGAACAACGATTGGACAAGCATCTCAACGCTTATTTGAATAAATCTATGTTTTCCTCAAATAAAAATATGCAAAGAGCTCAATATATTAAACAGTTCATTCGCTACATATGCAGCTTTTATTATCCTAAAATTCCAATTTCAGTCCAATGTTGACACATTCATAAATCCAATGAAAAAGAGCCAGAATTACATAAAAGTCTTACTTCCAAAAGTATAAACTCTGCCTATTCTTGATGAAGGTACCTTTCTTTCTTGAGCTCTATCACTAAGCTGCAATGTAGAATACATATCATAATTAAAATCTACAGTCCTATAAATGTTTTATCCTTAATTACATGTAGAATTTTTTTTAATTATTTCAGCTCAACCCGTCTTTGACTTTTGAACAATGTGTCTGGCCAGGCTCGGATGACCAACTTTAAATTTTAACCTAGCTAAACCTAAAATTTCTAACGAACACTTCCAATAATGGAAGCCAGAAAAAATCCATTAAAATTTTAGCGGGTTTTCAAGATTAAGTTTTAAACTTAAGCTGTCATACCTTTGGTTTGAAAATTTTTAAAATTTTCTTTCCCTTTCTTAATCCAAACGGAATATGTTTTCCCGAGGTCTTTTTTAGGCACTTAGTTGACTTTTCTCATTTTAAAACTGTTGATAACCTTTGAAAAACATTGTTCAATTTTAAACTGTTATATTTTTGTTTTTTTGAATGTTTTTTTCAGTATTTTTTTGTTTTCTGATATATTAAATTTTGGAATTTAATATTTTTAAGTAAAAGAATTTTTTGGGCTGAGGAGGTGCATTCCTGATGGATTTCAACCGTTTCCCCCAAGTGTTATAATAGGACTAATATGCAAAACCCCTAAAGAATTTTCAGGCTTTCCTGGAAAGGTAAATATTCTTATTTTTTTCCTAAATTTTACGCAGAAACTGATTTTTGCCGAATACATCAAAGACACTGTGTCCTTTACTTTCCTCTGAAAATGAAAGCAGGATAGTTATCTATCACTCTATTTATAGCTCACAAACATGAACATCCGGACACCGATGAATTGTTTTTCAAAGCCTCTGCAACAGAATTATAAAATAAGGCATCACCACAAGGAAGATAAGATAAATACTATTTTTAACCTTTTACCGATCCTTTTAGCTTCACCAAATTGATCTTGAAACCTCATTCAAGGCTGTTGAGGTCTATGATAGGTGTCAACATACTACAGTTCTAGAATATGTGTATCAGTAAAATAAATAAAGGTGTTATGAGCAGGTCAAACCAGCAGCTATTAGCCAATTTTTAGGGGGTATTTAAATAGAAAATCATACATGGTTTTTTTTTAATGCAATGCTTGAGAGACCAAATATAAACTTAATAAAAGAACTTCATTATTGTTTCTGTTTTAACTTAGTATAGTTATCTAAAAGTTATTTTAAAGTAGTCATCTTTATTATTACACAACTAGGGCTTTTATTTAATGTCAACACAACTAAACTTGTTTGAAATAATTTTAATGACTTACTGGTATTTCAGACAGATTCACAGATTGTCCATTACTAAGATTTTCCTGTATAGTTGAACCTGTCTTTTCTGCCACAGATCTGAGACTGGAATTGTTCCAAGCTCGTTTCACCTCCTTTCCCTGTGTCTCTACAAAGAAGCTTGTCGAATCAGATTTAAAACCCTTTGAGAAACCCGGATAAATTCCCCTTCCTCCATGATACAATTTCTTGTGCAGATCTACAAGTAAACAAAAAACTTTACTCAGATTCAAGAGATTTAGATTGTACTGTACAGTAGATGAAAGAAATCTAAAAATTGAAGTATGAGCTATAATTTCTATAACGTATAAGCCCAGACCAGAGCCGCCACAGTAATAATAGAAATAGTTATTAATTTTCTTGCATTATAGTAGGTCAATAATAATGCACATGTCACAGTTCAGTACTGTTTAGGATTTTTAGGAAAATATATAATAAGTGGCTGAATAACTCAGTTGGTAGAGCCCAAAAACAGCATTCCAATCACAGTTGGAAGTTCTATATTTTAGACATGTGACATAATTATTATACATGTGACGCAACCACTAAAATTGTGACGCACTGAAAATAAGTACGGAAACAAATCAGGCGCAATTTAGGTTTATAATATCAGGTACGGCAGCATTTATTTGTTGATGTCATGTTAGAATCAATATAATATATCCAAATCGGTGATTTTATCGCTAGATAAAATCATTGTTTGTCCTTTGGATGCGCGTCATGATATCACTCAGGCTACGCCCCTCGCATCCGAACTCCAAACAGTGATTTTATTGAGCAATAAAATCACTGTTTGGGATATATTATTTCTTAAACAACACACTCAAAATTGATGTCTATTGACCTTTTCGAAAACCTAGCTAAACATCGTTTTCCGGTACGTTACCATTTTAGCTCTGGGGAATTACACCAAATAAAGTACATAACACAGTTACGAGATATGTCTATTTTTCTACCATTATTTAACCGTTTAAGGTGAAATAAATTGATGTTTTTGAAAATTATCAATATTCGTTTAACCCTTTACCACATATATACGCGAAACAACGCACTTTCGACCCCCCCCCCCTTTTTAAGGCCTCAAATAGTGAAAAAATGTCCTATTTGGACCCCAAACATAAGTTTTCGTTTGAGAAATGTTGCTTAAAAAATTGAGCACTTTTTCGGCGCCGCCCCCCATCCAAAAGATACATCAGGGGGTTGCCAGAAGGGGGATGTGCCCCCTTCTGTTAGGGGGGTTTGAAGGGGGGCGGAGTCCCCCTCATCGCCAAGAAAATTTTGGACTTGTGAGAGGGTAAAAATGACCCCAGGTCGATCATAATGTAACGTTTAACCAACGCTGAAAAGCCTTTGACTCTATCTCAATCCCTTGAACAGTTGCAGCACTTTGAAATAAATTTTGATGGAAAAAATCGAGGCAAAATAGTGATTTTTGGCAATTTTGAGATGTCCCCTCGTTGCCATGGTAATAGGAAATTAAAGACTGAGCATGTAGTTACAAAGGCAATGGTCCAGTCAACATTTGTGCCAAGTTTGATTAGTATTGAAGCATTTTTCATAGTTTCATAGCAGTTTGAACTTGTAACAGGAGGCTTTTCAGTGAAAACGGCCATTTTTCACAATATGCTCATGGGGGAAAGGGTTAACTAAAAAATTATAAATTTTACAAAACATCAATTTTTCACCAAAATTAGGTGAAATACGACATGTTAACATGGAAAAACTAGTTTTTAGGTGATTCCAAAGTTTTTCATCATTTTTTGTTAACCCTTTACCACATATATACGCGAAACAACGCACTTTCGACCCCCCCCCCCCTTTTTAAGGCCTCAAATAGTGAAAAAATGTCCTATTTGGACCCCAAACATAAGTTTTCGTTTGAGAAATGTTGCTTAAAAAATTGAGCACTTTTTCGGCGCCGCCCCCCATCCAAAAGATACATCAGGGGGTTGCCAGAAGGGGGATGTGCCCCCTTCTGTTAAGGGGGTTTGAAGAGGTTGCCATGGTAACAGGAAATTAAAGACTGAGCATGTAGTTACAAAGGCAATGGTCCAGTCAACATTTGTGCCAAGTTTGATTAGTATTGAAGCATTTTTCATAGTTTCATAGCAGTTTGAACTTGTAACAGGAGGCTTTTCAGTGAAAACGGCCATTTTTCACAATATGCTCATGGGGGAAAGGGTTAATATCTATTGCAAATTATTCAAAAAAATAAGAGTGGTTAACGCGTCGGACTAGTAATCTAAGGATTGCTGACCGCGTGGGTTCAAACCCTGTCAGGGGCAAGCCGTTGTTTCCTTGAGCAAGAAACTTTACATTCATTGCTTAGTACTGGTTGGTTCCAGGAACGGATTCGAGAGTGTTTCAATAAGCTTATAGCTTCCAACACAATCGAACTAAAATAAATTTGTATAAACTAAATAAATTGTTTTTAATGAAAATCAATAAAATTCAAACAGACATAGTGGAATCTTCCATATTAAATAAGGTTATTTTCTGCGTAAACTTGTTTATTTACTTTATTTTTTTTCTGAATTATTCATACAATGATATTTAATTATTTTCTTATAAAGGAATAAGCGTTTTATTTCAGTTTAATTTAAAAAAGGCCGAAAACATTGACTTCGCTATTACACTCCAATAGGTGAATTCCCCAGAGCTACGTACAGAAAGTACCGGAAAACGGCGTTTAGCTAGGTTTTCGAAATCGTGAATTTTCTAATTTATGTATATAGGTTCTTTTTTTAAATCATCTGGGCTTCACTGATACTATTTTAAGATGCCTAATTAGCTAATAATGCAGTTATAGTGTCAAAATTATGAAACACTTATGGAATGAACATTATATACACCCCTGAATTAAACCCCAGGGTCTAATCCAGGATATAGCCTATATTGCATTCTACATCAGTGTTTAAATGGAAGAAAAAAAATCTGACCAAACAAGCCTCACAAAGTGTTGATGAACTTGGCTGAACTTGAAGGTGAAAATGAAAGTAAAGCAGTTGTTTGGATGAGATGAAAAAATGACATTAAAATCAATTACTCACCTGCAATCAGCAATCTATAACCTTAAATTATGAAGTAAGCTGTAAAATATACTTATGTAAGGGTATCTGTATGTCACAATACACGAAAACGTGCCAACATGCTTGTGTAAGTTGCAAGTTATCTTACACAATATTTTAGTCTGATATCTTCGGATTTTATCTTTCGTATACTATCTGGTCCGAGATTTTTAAGTTTTCTAAGGTGAAGGTCATTGATATTTGTAAACAAAATTCTGAACAATCAAAGAGGGTACATTAATCTCCTCTGCATGTTTAAGCCGTAAGGTCTTAGCGTTTTTATTTATATATTAATGAAGCTTTTAACAGACATCTCCAATTTCAAAAGATACTCATTTCTCAAAAAAGTTGAATTGTCACATATTTTCGCGTGGTTGGATTATGACATCTCACTTTACCTGTTAAATTAAATTACAAAATACTGAAAATTAAGCTTTTCCAAAAACAATAATATAAGGTCGTTTTAAAATAAATTATATTTTTCATTTAGCTAGTATTATATCGATATTTGAACGTTTTTAGGTCAGTGTAGTGTACTGTGATACCACAGGAGCTTGAAATTCTATCAATAATTGCCCTAAAGTCAAATTCCCAAAAAAAATCCATACCCTATATATAAAAAAAACCACAGGAGCTTGAAATTCTATCAATAATTGCCCTAAAGTCAAATTCCCAAAAAAAATCCATACCCTATATATAAAAAAAACACTATAGGGTATGGATTTTTTTTGGGAATTTGACTTTAGGGCAATTATTGATAGAATTTCAAGCTCCTGTGGTGATACAAACATAAAATATGCATGCATTTCCATGCTTACTGTACATGTACATGTGCTCATTGAAATTATTCACTAGTTTACATGTCAATTGTAGCCACAGCCCTGCCGGGAACTTTGACCTCTTGTTTTTGAAACCATTGGTTGCACCCTGTGGATTATACATTAACACTAACAGTGTTTGCGTTTACGGTGTAAACATATCAATTTAGTTTTATTTACTTGCTTAATTTGCCAGGGACGAAAGCAATAAAGGGCCCTTAAGTCCCTGGGACAAAACACTTTTTCCAAACATCGACAGTCTCTGTTGTCAATATGTTTTGACATTAGAGACTATTCCATTATTAAGTAGGAAAATGATACCTTTGAAAGGTAAAATACACATAGAAATATGTGCAAAAAGTATAAAAGTATTTAAATAAACTCTAATCCATTGCTCCTGTTAATGTTAGATATGAAGTTAATTTAAATAATCCACATTGTTTCTAGACCGGAGACCATTGAAGACCGTAGACAGTCCATTAGCAGGCTCTTTAACATGATGAATCTTACATGACTGTTAATGTTTTAGTCTGTTAATGTTGACTGTTAATGTTTTAGTCTGTTAATGTTTTAGTTTATTTACCTTCAGGCCTTAAATATTATTTAAGAGCACACAGCTGTCAAATTTAGGTACTGCACACAAATTTGATTGTTTGATGAAGTGATGCAAACATTGACATTTCTGTAATTGAGCACTTGTCCCATCTGAATTGGGACGTAACAGATCTATTAGCACTGAGTCCCAAGTACTCGGTAAAGTAAGGGGAAATCACTAACACTGCATTCAAATCCTGGTTAAAGCCCAGTAATGTGATTTTGAATATACCCCATTTTTGTGTCGCCTCTACGGAGTAGTGGCGACATATAGGGATCACTTCTCCGTCTGTCTGTCTGTCCGCACTCACAGGAGAGTTATTATGTGGCTAGAGGGACAATAGGTAACTGTTTTTTCTCTTTGATGTCATTCATTCCGTAATGCTTTTATGTGGCTATTTTCTTTTGCATGGCTAAAAAGAACAATAGAGGGAACAATAGAGTAGCCACATAATTACTGTCCTGTGAGAACGTCCGTCTGTCCGTCCGTCACAAAACTTGTCTGGACTACTCCTCATAAACTACTGGTGCAATTTCATCCAAACTTTACAGGAATGATCAGTACCAAGTCTAGTTGTGCATATTGTCAGCATTTTCCGGTTCAATGATTTTTGTCAGAGTTATGGCCCTTTAATAATTTTTAATTTTAAGGTTTGTCCGGACTACTTCTCTTATACTTCTTATGCAATTTCAATGAAACTTTACAGGATTGATCTGTAGCTCAAGTCCTTGCGCATATTGCAAGGGTTTTCCGGTTGAAAGATTTTTGGCCAAGTTATGGCCCTTTGATAAAAAGGTGTTTTTTTCTGTGTGTTGCCAGATACACAAAAGCTTGTCCGGACTACTCCTCATAAACTACTGGTGCAATTTCATCCAAACTCTACAGGAATGATCAGTACCAAGTCTAGTTGTGCACTGTCCGTCTGTCTGTCTGTCACAAACTTTGTCCCAACATGAAATTGGCCATCATGAGGCGACACATGTGATTACTGATCGCTCTCGTGTTAGTCTATCTAATTAGACTTGTTAAAGAGACATCATGGTTTGACAGTATGAAGAAAACAGTCTTTAAAATGGGTCAAACCGTTCACACCAAATGAATTTATAGGCTACCATTTTGGAAGTTAAAATTAAAGTAAAACATCTGCATTGATCTGGGAGTGGAGTTAGTAACACAATTATGATTCAGCACATAACAATTTACCACTGTGGAATAATGATTTGTCAAAGATAAATAATGATTCATCTCAGTAGGAGTACAACATTTTGTTTAAGAAAGACTGAAGGAAATTAAAAATTAATTTGACAAAGACAATGACAATTTTTTATTGTAATATAAGACCTCCAGTCACAAACAGAATTGTTATGTGGCAAATCATGATTGTGGTGAATCATTACATATCCTGGCAGTGCACCATCAGATGTGGTGTAAAAGCTCAACTCCATCCTGGTAATCCCATACTCTTCTCAGCTCTTTCCCTGCGATTGTGTTGGTTGTTGTTAAAATTTACTGTAGCATAACTTATCAAGGTTTTGCCTTGACACAGCCAGGTTTTAAGCTTCCCTAATGCTTCAAACATGGATTTAGGTAAAAAGGTTTTGTTGAGTATCAAAGAAATTTATTCAAGGTCAACAAACAGATCTAATATTCCTTGAACTTTCAAAAGCACTTGGCAAAGTGAATCACTTTAAGTTACTGTTCAAATTATTACCAGCATGGCATCCAAAACTGCACAATACAATGGGTCAAATCTTTCTCATAGTTAGCCCTCAGTCTGTCTTGGTCAATGGTGATGAGTCAAATCTGTGGTACATCCATTACATCAGGTGTCCTAGTCCCACATATCTTCTTACTATATACAAACGACCTACGTGAAAGCATAGTTTGTTGATGGCACTGCTATGTACTTCACATTTAACAACAGTACCTAAAAGCATATCTTGCAAGGGGAGTTATCTTGGTTATAACATTGGGAAAACACATAATATATTAATTTAACTACTGCATGATATATGTATTTGTATGTATTATTTGTCTATTTATTTTAGGACTTGGATTGGACTTTCTTTAAACATCTGAAAATTGTAATAAAGAAATGATAGGGCAATGACAACTTGCCTGACAGAACTGTATTTGTGGTCACTGAAGGGCAATGTCTCCATACCAAGTAAGACCCTTACTTTGACATTAAAGTCAGTTTTGTAATAAACTAGCTACCTGATTATTCAAAAAAAATCTGGATAATAATTTCACACAAATAATATCCTTTTAGTAATATATTTTCATCAAATTTACTTCTAAGTACTCTTTAGCAGTGTCTTAAAGTACAATGTTTAGAATGTTTAAGATTAAAAAAAAGTTATATTATGCTTTGTTTCCAATATAGAAGGAATATTTATAAAGGCTCTCGAAAAAGGTCTCTTAATGGTATATTTTATATGAAAAAGTGATGACATTTAGTTGTGATTTTCCTAAGAAGATTATGATGTTTATTATCCAGATCATGTTATCGGATGCCACAGTTACCATGACAAAGGGGAGACAGGTATCCTACAAAATCTCTTTCTTTTCTAACTGCATAATTTGATGAAAAACCTTTGTTGTTAAATTTCATATATTAAAATGTCTTAATTATGAAAAACTGAAATCTTTGTCTTAAAATGTCATATATTAAATGTCTTATCCATATATTAAATTATATATACATGTATGTCTTTTTCCAAATACATGCATTTCATGTCCTCCATTGTTAAGTTGAATTAAGAGCTCTTAGTATTGTACTTATTAGAATAAGATATTTTTTTATCACATACCCTTGTCACTTATGCGACTCCGTAAAAAAAGTTATTTCATGCCTGTGCATATATTTTGACATGCCGTCATTTGCATTATACAAAAATAGCATTAAGATGCGCTAAATTTTAGCATTACACTATATGCCCATTAATGAAAACTTAAAACTTTCACTACAAAAGGTACTTATTTTAATATGTGTAGATTCATTACTATATTACACGAGCCTCTGGTGAGCATAAAATTGTTTTATTCCACAAGTTCAATAAATTTAGTATTGAACCCACACTTGTTTAATATGCTCTATATATTATTAGGTATGATTTTATGTTATATTATTCAGGATCAAACAGTCAGTATTATGAGGAAAAACAACAGTTTACAGAAGGTATGTTTAAGAAATATTTAGTTTTCAGAAATAAAATAATTGTTAAATCTATGATAATTCCCATACGATTTCCCACATACTGGTCTTTTACATGCTTAATAAAACAGGTTATAGAATTGTTATATCATGAAGTCAATGCAACATATTTATGCTAAAAAATCTTAAGAACAGTGTAATAAACAGTGTTTAAAAACTACATTTAACACATCTTCTCAAAACATTATGCCAAAGTACAGTACACCATTATCACAGTGTGATATTTCTGAAATACATGAAATGTTATCTTTCACATGAAATTCATTATATACCATATTTGTAGGGAGAGATATGGTGTGGGCGCCAAAAAATAAACGTCCGGAGAAGTTGAAAGACAATATCAAAGAGATGGAGGTTAGTTTCGTACAACACTTCTTTTTTTTTTTTTTTGAGGCCCCAACTGGGTAACCCCGTTTATTCACCCCGTAATAGGTATGAGAGGGTTGTACAACAAATTCTTTCAATTTTATGCCCCTTGAAATTTTTTGACAGATCGTATGATTGCTGCTTTGTACTTACTTATGTTACATTGAGTGACTGCCTCTTATTGAACATTCATTTATCAAATGATCTCTTAGAAACATTATTTATCACATACAACGGGCTGCTTTTGCAGCTCCGTTAAAATGGTACTGCATGGTCATGCATATATTTTGATGTAAAGTCCTTTGTGTTACACAAACATAGCACAAAGACGTGCTAAATGTTGGAGTTACACTATAGGCAGCATCAGTAGCAAAAAAGGATTATTTTCACTTTAAACAGTTCTTTCATGGTTATGTGATAAATGGAATGTTATATTTTTGTAGATTCATTACTGAAATTATTGAACTTCTTAATTAAATTAAATAGTATTATGCTTGCCAGTGGCTCTCATAATGTAATTCTATACAACTTGTCCAATGAATTCAGTATTGAATCTTCATTAATTTAACATCCTCATTATATGTTATGTTGGTACTTTCCCTGAATCTCTACACTTGCAATGGCTTTTCAGGTCAAAAGGTCAAGGCCAGTAAAGTTAAAACAGTATTTCTTACTTTTCCTTCATTACAATTATTAGGCTACTTTTTATCTTTGTCAATGCAACATTGTGGATCAACTATTCGGGTAGCCCCAATATTATTGTTTCATAGAAAATGCAAAAGTTGTTCATGGCAGCATTTTTATCGACAAAAATATTTTTGACGTTCTGTTTTATAAAGGAAGCTCATAAATAATGATTGCTTCTTAGCTTGTACAATTAAATGCAGACTTTGGCAAAGCTGGGAATGTAACATTAATTCTATTTGCAAGTTCAGCTTGTAATGTTTGTTTCACTAACCGGAGCTATTGTCAGCAATTAAGTTTGTTATATTTTACTTACAGGAGTTATTGTCAGCTTTTAAGATGATAGAGTTATTGTCAGCATTTAAGTTTGTTACTTTACTTACAGGAGTTATTGTCAGCATTTAAGTTTGTTATATTTTACTTACAGGAGTTATTGTCAGCATTTAAGTTTGTTATATTTTACTTACAGGAGTTATTGTCATCATTTATGTTTGTGAAATTTTACTTACAGGAGTTATTGTCAGCATTTAAGTTTGTTATATTTTACTTACAGGAGTTATTGTCAGCATTTAAGTTTGTTACTTTACTTACAGGAGTTATTGTCAGCATTTAAGTTTGTTACTTTACTTACAGGAGATATTGTCAGCATTTAAGTTTGTTACTTTACTTACAGGAGATATTGTCAGCATTTAAGTTTGTTATATTTTACTTACAGGAGTTATTGTCAGCTTTTAAGATGATAGAGTTATTGTCAGCATTTAAGTTTGTTACTTTACTTACAGGAGTTATTGTCAGCATTTAAGATGATAGAGTTACGATGGAGAAGTAGGAAATGTATACAGATGATTCTCAGTAACGCATGTATCATCAACATTGTTCTAACGGGACACTCAGGAGACATAGAGAAACTACTTATCGATAAATCTCTTGTTGGCAAATTGAGTGCGGAAATGATATCTCATGGTGAGTACCCACATGATTTTTAAAGCTACAGTTATAAAATTGACTTGCCCTTCTTTGATTTTGGAATAGTCCATTGTTATTCTAAGGGTTTTGAATATCAAAGTTACAAAACATTTGAGGAGTCAACAGTATAGAGTTTGCTCAAAGCTAAGGGCACACACAGGTCTGTTATTATAATGGTGAGCATTCAAAGAGTTATCTTTCTTGTATCGTATATCCACACTTACTCCATTGTTTTATGTGAACAGTTATGTTAGGTAATACTGACACAGAATCCAGGTGAAATTTCTTATTGTACATTTGTGTACATGTAAGTAACTGCTAGCATGCCAATGAGATATTTGCTGTTTTTAAATGGAACCAGAATCATTATAAGCAAACAATCTGTAACGTCAAGGAATACCTATTAAAAATAACAAGGAAATTTGTGGATTCTGAGGTTTATGAATAGAGTTGTGGGATGATTAGTGTATAATACTGTGAATACAGGGGTTCATTAAAGCTATGGGATAGAATCTAGTTAAGTGGACTACAAAAAAATCAATTGTATGTGTGATTTTGTAACTATGGTGTTATTAAGTTACTACTTGTAGGTGTTATTCTAAATTTTGTTGTAGTTTTAGAAACAGATGTGTAAAAAAGTAAGGATGTGGGAGCCACAGCCCGCAATAACAAGCATGCTGATATTGTCTATCTTCCACCAAATTAGATGTGTTCCCATTTAAGGAATTATGAATTTCATACATGTTTATATTCACAGCTTGTCTGACTGACCAATACATCATAACATCATATCTAGACAAGGCAAGAATAGACTATATCTACTTCTGTAAGAGACCACCTCTTGGTGAAGCTATCAGAAAACTTGAGAAAGTGTCCACCTGGGAACCCAAGGTAAATAATGGTTTTTATTATTTGTGGGTATTTAAGTACAAATGTAGAACACTTTCAGATATTTGCCAATTTTTATCACATCAAAAAAAAATATGTTTAAGCAGTCAAAATTGTGAAGTTTACAAAATATTCTGATAATAACAGAAATCCCTTATGACATGTTAAAATATATGTTGGAAGAAGAAAAAAAATTATTAGTAATAGTATAGTAATTTGGTGATAAAGCAAGTATATTAACTTTACACATCTTGACCTTTTGTGTTCTTTGTCTGAAATATCCACTTGAGTCAAATATAAACTCTGGATGAAGATACTCTTATCATAACACTGTTTTATTAGAATTTATCATCATTTCATGTCCTTTATCAACCAATATCTTTCTTTAAACATAAATAATTCTTGGAGACATGCTAAAGTCCTATAACCAATTTGGTTCACAGTGCTAACTTTATGTGTGACAGGGAGTTTATATTATTAGGTAGCAAGTCATAAAAATGTTCTCTTAAGCTTAGATATGTAATTCACAAATTTACATGATTGTATATATAAATATTTTCATTTCATTGGGCTTTTACATGTCAGATTTCTTGTAGGTGTGACTTTTCTTTATGATACATCCTCAGAGTATATTTAACCTGAGAATGGTGCTGTTTGTTTTTATAGTCACTAAATATAGCTATTATTATTTATATTCAACACAGATTACTCCTATTGATATCCCTGGACCTGTAAACAGAAGACTGGATAGAAAGTTATCTGTGAATATGCACCAGGATATGGTATGTTATATTACATCATTTTGTACTTCTTTTGGTAATTAATATGGTGAAAATTTTGTGAGTTCTAATCCCAAAAAAGGATAATTATATGAGAAAACTATTTATTTAGTGAAAAGAGTTTGGGTTTGCAAGTTTCAAGTTCTTTAGGTAGTGAAATTTTTTATGCCCAATTTGGCTAATTAGAATACATCCTCCACTTCTGTTGAGAATGATTAATGAGGAAAAGTTGTTGGTAATTTATCATAGAAAAGCAAGTTATTACTAGAACAGAAATCAGGAACATAAGGTCATGTACATATGTATTAGGTAAAGACCAGATACTGAGAAATCTTTTAAGTTTATTGTTACACTTTCATCAAGTTTTATAACTGTATTTGTACAGCATTGAAAAATAGAGAATATGAAAGAGTAATTGCACAGTTTGATTACATAACTTGGCTTTCTTTATTTAAAATATGATTATAAAACTACATTTCATGTATAAAGCAATGTATGAAGCAAATATAATGAAACTATTTGATGCAAAACATCAGGATTTTTTTCTAAAGTTGCATGTCACTATTGAAGTAATGTCACTATATTTTGATGGTATAAACAGTATTTACCTTTCCTTTTCAAAATAACTACAATGTATGTTTTTTTTGTTAAATTCCATCTTTTAAAATTGTCTTTCATGCATTGTTACCAGTGGTTACTGGAAAAAACAAAAACAACAACAAAACAATCAGGCTTCAGTTTCACTTATCATTCTTGCACTATTTGGATCTGTTTGTATGCATGTACTTCCAAATACCGAATTTTTTGATTCAAATGTAAATACTGGTTCATTTTCAAAGTCATTTTCATCGGCCAGTTCTTTAGCTTGTTTTATCTTTTCTTCTCTCTTTCTCTCTCTTTTGGACATATACCTTTCATATCTGACTCTATTGTCTTTCTGGTGATCTTTGACCCCTGGACAGTCATAAACCATGTAGCGGAAATAATCTCTTAGTGGAGCTACTTTCTGCAAGTGATGACCTTTAACCTTTCTTAACTCTGCCTCTAATTGGCTGAGGTCAAGGTCATTTGGCTTTGTTGCCTCGTCAAGTCTTTGTTGTGGACCTAATACTTTTGATTTCTGTACAGTTTGACTGACGACAAATTCGATAGGTCCATTTTCAATATGATTACAAGATTCCTTATCCAATTTATCAGTATCTGTTTGAGGGTTACTGTTTTTTACCTTCCGTTTCTCTCGAGCATTTCGGAAATATTTGATAATTTTTGAGAGAGCTCTTGGTGGTTTGTATTCATACAGAACAATTTCTTCTTTTTCAACAAGTGGTCCAACATGAACCACTAGCAGGAAAAATCTTGACAGGTTTTGTATATACATATAAAGAAATTGTTTAAAGATGTCCGAGGTGCTGACATTGTTTCTAGCTGTTACGATAACTGTAAGTGCAGCTTTTCCAAGACTCTTGGACGAAATGGTGTCTTCACTTATTGTGTCCGTGGACGAAATGTCATCATTATCATTGTTGTTAAAATTGGCTGCATCATCAGTTTTGTTATTTTTCACCTCACTGTTAATTCTACGTTTTTGCTTTATTTCTTGTGGTTTTGGTATAACTAAAGGTTTATCATCCAATATAGCGAGCATGTCAAAACTACCTATGACTTTGGCGCTCTTTCCAAATATTCTCACATTTGCAGAACGTTCAGCATCAAATTCAACAAGGTAGTCGAAGAAATTGTATGACTTCAGTATCTGATAAGCCCTAACACTTACGTCCCTCAGATATGTTTTGCAGTCTGTTGGTACATGTATTTCGGCGATTTTGGCTTGCATCCCTGCAATATCTTTCCTGGCATTAAATCTCACACCAGACTCGTTCATAATAATCCTCTGTTTTAATGACATCAGAAAAATGGCGTTACAATCAGGCAAGTTCCTCAATATGTGTTGGTAATGAATATCGGGACAGTCGAGTTTTGTTGACGTAATTCTATCTAAATATTTACCATTTTCATCGTACAATATCTCATTCTCATCCACACATTTAAGACAGATTTCTGTGTCAGTATATTCTTTTGCCATCTTTTTTGTTCACTTCACACAATTTCGCTTTTTGTTCACAATTTAAATTTCATATATAAATCCAGTAATTAAAGCATGCGCCTCTACTGTCATGTAGAACAAGTAATTAGCTGTTAATATTTACACATCTGATGTTTTTAGCAAGCACTATATAGCCCTTTTATGTCCAAACCTATTTTCTATTTAGTTGATGAAATTTACCCATATATCTTGTCATAGAGTTTTATAGTTACAATTCTTAGTAAAATACTATTATCCGCACAATACTAAACAAAGATAATGCACTGAAAGGGCATCAGCTTAAATAACATCATAGACTTTTATGATACACATGTCTTATGGAAACCATTCACAACAAAAAACAAACAAACAAAGAAACAAACAGAATCTAACAATAAGTCATTGCCAGGTTTTTGTTGTTTGTATTGGATGTTTTGATTGGATAATTTCATGAATATTTTATGAGACAACTCCTTTACAGTATTTTCTTCATGACATGATAAAAGGCAATAGGTTTTATCATATGTAATTAACTATTTATGAAGGTTATCTGAAATATCCAATACTGCAAGGTAAAGTCCAAAAAGGCAACAGATGTTAGATATACAGGTAATAAAGAAAATAGAAAATGCAGATTGTTCATGTCAGAAAATATTTATCATTATAGATTGGTAAGATTTATATGATGGTTGATATGTAATAACAATATTTTTTATCAGCTTGGAGGCCATTTTTGCTGTTAATTTATGTTTTATTGAATAGACTTCAAGACAAGCATTTGTTTGATTTATGAGCTTGCATCATTTGTATATTAATTAGCCTATAGCATTTGAACATTAACTTTACTGGTTTCCTAGAGGTTTCCGACCCAATATTGCACTTTTTAACAAATGAAATAAAAATCTGTCTAAGGAAGTGTACAAAACTTTGACAGGACAAAGTTAGGTTCCCCTTTTAGAATTGCCATGTTTTAATGCTGCACTTAAATTTTACTTTTGATTTGAATATAGGTCTGAAATGTTACACCTTTTTAGCTCACCTGTCACAAAGTGACAGGGTGAGCTTTTGTGATCGCTTTTCGTCCGGCGTCCGTCCGTCCGTCGTCCGTCCGTCGTCCGTCCGTAAACTTTTGCTTTAAATGACATCTCCTCATAAACCACTGAGCCAATTTTATCCAAACTTCACAGGAATGTTCCTTTGGTGGTCACCTTTAAAAATTGTTCAAAGAATTTAATTCCATGCAGAACTCTGGTTGCCATGGCAACCGAAAGAAAAATCTTTAAATATCTTCTTTTAAACAACCCTAAGAGCTAGAGCTTAGATATTTGGCATGAAACATCTTCTAGTGAGTGTCTACCAAGTTTGTTCAAATAAAAGCCCTGGGGTCAAAATTGGCCCCGCCCCGGGGGGTCATTGATTTTCCCTATATGCATATAGTAAAAACTTCAAAAATCTTCTTTTAAAGAACCAAAAGAGCTAGAGCTAAGATATTTGGCATGAAACATCTTGTAGTGAGTGTCTACCAAGTTTGTGCAAATAAAAGCCCTGGGGTCAAAATTGGCCCCGCCCCGGGGGGTCATTGATTTTCCCTATATGCATATAGTAAAAACTTCAAAAATCTTCTTTTAAAGAACCGTAAGAGCTAGAGCTTAGATATTAAGCATGAAACATCTTCTAGTGAATGTCTACCAAGTTTGTTCAAATAAAAGCCCTGGGGTCAAAATTGGCCCCGCCCCAGGGGGTCATAGATCTTCCCTATATGCATATAGTAAAAACTTCAAAAATCTTCTATTAAAGAACTTAATAAGCTAGAGCTAAGATATTTAGCATGAAACATGTTCTAATGGTTGTCTACCAAGTATGTTCAAATAAAAGCCCTGGGGTCAAAACTGGCCCCGCCCGGGGGGGGGGGGTCATTGATTTTCCTTATATGTGTATAGCAAAAACTTAAAAATCTTCTTTGAAAAAACCCAAATAGCTAGAGTTTAGATATTAAGCATGAAAGATCTTTAAGTAAATATCTACAAAGTTTGTTCAAATAAAAGCCCTGGGGGTCAAAACTGGCCCTGCCCCAGGGGTGTCATTGTTTTTAACTATATGTGTATAGTAAAAACTTTAAAAATCTTCTTTTAAAAAACCCAATGAGCTAGAACTTAGATGTTTAGCATGAAACATCTTCTTATGGGTGTCTACCAAGTCTGTTCAAATAAACAAATAAAAGCCCTTGGGTAAAAATTGGCCCGGGGAGGGGGGGCCTATATACAGGTGAGCGACCTCAGGGCCATCATGGCCCTCTTGTTTCACTTTTATTAAAAAATTCATGGCAGTTTTCCTGACCTTTTTATTTTGAATATAATTCAGTACCTGAGTAAGCAATGTTAAGATGGTTTTATAAAACAAACATAACTTCCCAACCTTTTCCGTGTTGTCTGCAAATATATTTTCAGAAGTATATTGATTTACCTAGAATGGGGTCCCAGTTATTGCGCATGGATATTCAAACTAGAATTCCCCAGATGTTGCTTATTTTAAAAAGTTGCAAGTTCTCTCATGTAACTTTAAACAACAGGCAAAACTTTAAAACATATAAATCGTTATACTATTTTAAATGCTGTTAAGCATAGAAAATGAATGTCTCTCTGATTGATGAAGTAATAAAGGGCGGGAAAACTCTTAGGGGCTGGAAACTGCTAGGAAACCAGTTATGAGTCAATAACATTTGTAGATGGACATGCAGCTATTGTACATGTGTCTGTAACATGTGTACATAGACATTGATCAAATAACCTTGTTTAGGTTTGAAATAATGTACAGTACACAACTTACATGATGAAGATATTTTCTAAGGTCACAGTTTTACTTTGTATTAAACACGGGTAATACAAGCTGTACACACATATGTTAACAAATGTTATGTTATTACAGGCATTGGTATGGTGGAGTAACTCAAGCAAAGAAGCTATGCCATGGTCACCTATGGCCTCTGATAAAGACAGGGCAAATCTTATTATAATATCTATACATGGGTAAGTAACTTGGTTATAAAATGATATAGGACTGCTTCCTCATCTATAAAAGTATATGTTAATTTGTACAGGAACCTACCATGATCTATGATCTTTGTTTCTTCTTCATGTTTATGTTTTTAATAAACTGCCTGTGATTCTGTGCCTAGTTTAGTTTAATCATATTAAAATTATTTTAACTCTTTTCTGATGAAAGCTTACAGCTTATTTACACAACTCTAGACCCTGTTTCCTTACTGGTGTTATTCATGAAACATTATCTTGAACCTATGCCCCCCAACCCCTTGGTTGAGAGGCAAACCCCTTAACCATTACACAACCTCTCCATGCCAAGCACAATCAATGTTTGTTTTTAGTATTACATGTATATTTCTAAAGACAGTTATTGTAACTATTATGTATTTTACTTATGTTTGATATTTTATTATGTCTCCCCCACCTCGGGGGGAGACATATTGTTTTTGCCCTGTCCGTCAGTCCGTCCGTCAGTCAGTCCGTCCGTCAGTCCGTCCGTCCATTCTTCGTTTCCGGACGATAACTAGAGTTCCTTTTGACCTACAGCCCTCAAACTTCATAGGATGATTGGTCTTATAGAGCTGATGATCCCTATTGTTTTTGGGGTCAGTAGGTCAAAGGTCAAGGTCACACTGACCGTTGGTCAATTTCTCGTTTCCGGATGATTACTAGAGTTCCTTTAGACCTACAGACCTCAAACTTCATAGGATGATTGGTCTTATTGAGCAGATGATCCCTATTGTTTTTGGGGTCAGTAGTTCAAAGGTCAAGGTCACAGTGACCGTTGGTCAATTTCTCGTTTCCGGATGATAACTAGAGTTCCTTTTGACCTACAGCCCTCAAACTTCATAGGATGATTGGTCTTATAGAGCAGATGATCCCTATTGTTTTTGGGGTCAGTAGGTCAAAGGTCAAGGTCACAGTGACCGTTGGTCAATTTCTCATTTCCGGATGATAACTAGAGTTCCTTTTGACCTACAACCCTCAAACTTCATAGGATGATTGGTCTTATAGAGCTGATGATCCCTATTGTTTTTGGGGTCAGTAGGTCAAAAGTCAGGTCACACTGACAGTTGGTCAATTTCTTGTTTCCGGATGATAACTAGAGTTCCTTTAGACCTACAGACCTCAAACTTCATAGGATGATTGGTCTTATTGAGCAGATGATCCCTATTGTTTTTGGGGTCAGTAGTTCAAAGGTCAAGGTCACAGTGACCGTTGGTCAATTTCTCGTTTCCGGATGATAACTAGAGTTCCTTTTGACCTACAGCCCTCAAACTTCATAGTATCATCAAAATCCTTTAAAGGTTTGAAGAATTATGGAGCAGACACAATTTCATTTAATTTCATTTGTTAAACTATATATGATATGACCATCAAGTGCAATTTCGTTTGACGCCCGCCTTGCCATACGCTGATTGAATAACCAGGATTTTCAAAATTGAATACCTGGTTAAAAACAAACAGTTTAGGAAGCATCTTCTCATACAACCTTAACAATAGAAACCATCCATAGACAGCCTTCATTGAAGTGACTACCGGGTATTTACATTATCTTATCTCCATTTCCATTCCTGTTTCCATTCACAGTTATTCTCAGCAGTGGGGGAGACATGCGCTTTTTTACAAAAGCATCCTCTAGTCTCTTTATGAGTAATTGTATTTAGATGAGATGTTATGCTAGAGACATAATTTTATGATACTTATAATGCTGCAATGTAGGTAGAAATAATAAAAATTACCCTTTTTGTTTCAGACCGAATGTTGATGTTCTAACTTTCAACAGAACAGAATGTGATCCAGTTTTTGCTGGATTCAGGTAATTAAGTTAGCTTGATATATAAACTGTGAAGAAAAATCATTTCATGATATATTTACATTATATGATATTAATGTCATACAAGTCGTATGTCACAAGTTTTATACTACTCTTAATAGGGCTTCTGGAACAAAAGCATGTTATCAGTTATCCCTGAATTCTGAAAAGTTTGCATAAAGGCAGCTGAAAAAGTTACTCTGATGATATACAATATATCAAGGGTTTCGTAAAGCTCTGTGCCACCAGCCCCTAACTGCTGTTGGTTCGAATCCCACCAAGGACTTTGGATTCCTTATATGAGGAAGCTATCCAGCTAGCTTATGGGTGTTGGTGGTTTTACTCAGGTGCTGGTTTGTGCCTAAAATAATGCACAGAAGGGCACCTGAGGTCTTCCTCCTTGAGTTAAGCTGGAATGCCCCCATATGACCTCTACTGTGATGGTGCAACGGAAAAACCCAACCAACAAAAAAAGAAGAAAAGAATGCTCTGTTTTATCTTGAGTATAAAGTTGAAGTGATAGAAAGTGCCAAATAAACCCCAATTATACATCTCAAAGCACTGATTATATGCATTGTACACAAAATAATTTCATTAATTCTGACATTTTCTCCAGTAAGTTACAGCCACATAAGATGTATACAGTTGAACAAGGGATGAGTTCAGGAGGGGAGACAACTGCAAAAGCTTGTACTTATGAAGTTGTTCAAGGAAAAGTAAGTTTATGTTTATGTCACAAACTGTATTTTACAGAATCACACTACAGCATGGTGAATTTTGAAAGCTTGTATATGTTTTGTATATCAAATTTTGAAAGGGATTTTGAATTTTTTTTTTTATAAAAAATGACAAAATTTTAAAAATGTTTTTTCAAGTTACAGTTGTATTGGCATAGCTACTTGTGAAGCGAACATAGATTGCTGCTTATATTTCAGATCCTGCAACAGCTTTTGAAATTGCTTCTCCATTATCTAAATAGGTTTTTGTATTATCCTAGTATACAGCCTTAAAAAATTTGATATAGTTATAACACAATCTTCTTATTTAAAAAATGGCCAGATTAGACGATATGATATTTAAACTGGACCAACATATTAATCCTTCATGTCAACTGTGATATGTACAGAAATTGACATTTTGTGAAGGTGACTATAATAGGTTAAGAAATTGTTATACAAATGGTAGCCTTGTACAAGAGCATGGAACAAACTCCATCCTTCAGTTTGTAGGTATATCTGCTATTGGAATCAGTACAGTACGCTCAGCGCGACTTTTTCAAAACCCGCGTGACCCGCGGATGAGGTTTACCGCGGACAAAAATTTGCTCAGATATTGTCCGCGTGACCCCGCGGACAGAAAATTTTCACCACCGCGGACATAAATCAGCGGCTGAAACCGTTTCCTACGCGGAACACAGCGTTAACTTGCGGAGGAAATCGCCGGTCAAACACTGGTCAACGCGGTGGAAACCTTAAATTTTAAAAATTAATTACTGTATTTAAACATCAGTATACGTACGTACTGTAACATGTACTGTACATATAACTATATGTAAAATTTGTTTGTTTGTTTTCTTTTTTGTTGTAATAAAAGTACATGTACAAATGCAGTGTATTTCTTGTTCTTCTTCTTGTTATTGTATTGGGTAATGTATAATATGCATTCGACACCAAGATAAATCATTGTCGTCGCAACTTCATCGTAGTGAGAAACTTGAGGTCAAATAATGAAAAATTCGGCATATGACATTTATGAAAAAGATACTACAACAATTTATATGCCAGCTTTTGTTTCTTATTTAAAGACTTTGAAAACGTAACCCTCAACAATTTATTCAGGCAATATTCCAGGACGTCTCTTTCAATTGTCAGATGCGTTTTACTGTTTCTGTTTATTTGCATGTTGATCATAAAGTCTTATATTTTATTTGGAACATTAAAAGAAAGCGTTTATTTCACCAAAATATACATTAAATGATATTCTTGATTTATCTAATTACAGGTGTGAGCGTAATGAATATGTTTTGAAGTTTGTATCAACTGTTGAAGTTTATTTTCATTTTTGTTTTAGTAGTTTGTTTGTTTGTTCTTTTTTATTTTTTTATAGATTTTTTTTTGCAGAATTTTGTTAAACTTGATGTTATACTTTTTGTTATTTTATTATGACCAGCCTGTACATACATGTATACATGTATAAGGCAAACAAGCACATGGCAGTTATTTTCTAAGAACTTCCATCGACCGATTTTCAAGTTAAAAATATTTCATTTTATTTTTATCTTAAGATATTATTGTTCATGGGAATAATAGTATTTGTAGACAACATGTAGTTTTAAGTACATACAATTGAACGTAATTGTCTTTGCTTTCTTGTATTTATTATATTAAGTTTTCATTGAAATTAATTCCGAGGATAATAATGTAATTTTATAATTTGTAAAAGGCAGCCTAACTATTATTTTTTTAATGCGTGAATTTGTGTCAAACAAATATACGGTATGTATACAAAAACTTTTTGGCAAGTGTCATGCATATTTCGCATGTCCATTTTTGACGGGGTTTTTACTGTAAAAAAACACAAACAAACAAGTCTACCCGTTTTTAAAGAATATAATTGCATACAAATAAAATCTTATAGATGGTTTAAATATCTTTTTCTTTAATTTCTAAGATATGTACATGCATTTTATTTATGTCTTGTCTTGTATTCACACTCATCGACCTCTTACAGGACATGTACAGTAGCATCAGTCATCATTGAGAAATCAGCACAAATGTCCTTTTTTTTATACTAAGTATCATATTTATGGCTCCCATATAGTTTAACAGCAATAATACTTTGAGAACCACAAGGAATGAAAAAGTAAAGATGACAGTGATAAAAGACGATTTCAGTTGTAAAAATATTGGTATGTGGACGAATAGTTTTGTGGACGTTTATAACAAAAATATTAAAAACAACAACAAAAACAGGTACAGCTGTAATTATTTTTATTTCAAATTCCGGTCAAAAAATTTAACGTATAATAACATTTAAGGAGACGATTGTGGTCAATTTTCAAGTCATTGTGTAAAAAAGATGACGTTAAAAAATAATAAAACGTCTATTATTTTTGGAGGTTAATTTATACTGACCAACTGACCTTGGCGTTCCCCCGCGGGAAACGGGTGACTGATTTTATCGACAAATGAAGAACTGACGATTTCACCATTTATATTTACCGAAAATTGAAAATAATCCTTTTTGTAGAAGACACATCTTTCATGAGCGTTCACCCACTGGTCAATGTTTGTAAGAACTGTATGAATAAATTCAGAACTTTTATGTACCTGTATACATCAATGATGTTTTACAGATAATGATCATCAAAGTTGAGGTCATGCCATCTTTGAATTGAGGATTTGGCTTAAAAAGTGGTCCTTTTTAATTATTCTGATATTACCTTTCATATGTAAGAGATATACTTTAGACACTATGTTGTTGCCTTTACCATAACAACACAGAAATTTATGTTGTGATTTCCTGTTTTGCTTTCATTAACATACAATGTACATGTTAGTAATAACAGTTACATATTTTTTATTTTTTTCATGGCATTGATAAAAAATATATGCATGTTATTATTAATTTTATTATTCATAATTTTGTCTTTCCTTACTGCATTCATTCTTCTCCGACTGCTCTTCTATATTAATTTGTAACATTTTTTTACTCACTTTATTTCAGATTCAGAGGGTGTCTATAGTGAATATTCCTCTTAAAAGTGAGTTTACTTTTTACTTTTATATATTATGATAATGTATCAGTATTAAAGCAACACACCTTCGGATGTATAAGCATACTATCAACAAATTAAACTGATGAAAAGTATATGAAGAGTTTTAGAAAAATATAGGTTATACAGTCCATATGTGCTGCAAAATATGACCTGATTTTCTATGTAATATGTACCCAATTGATAATGGAATAGATGTTTTGCATAAGTTGACTCTTCTATAGTTACTTTGGAAAATGAATAGTGATATTATTACACATGGCAATACTTTTGCTATTTACAACATTTACTAAATTTTCATGAAAATTAGCAACAATCTGGTGATGGGCTGCTTAAAAAAACATTTTTAAAACAAATTTCCTCAGCAGATTGAAATGACTAGGATTTAATGATATAAATAGAAGATTTTTTTGGTATCAGTACAATATATTATGTTATATGATTAAGCAATATAGATTTAAAATTTTGTTTAGAATCATATCAAATGTAATGTCTTTGATTTCAATTTACTTTGTGCTCTGTAGGTATAGTAATATGGTTCATAATAAATAAATGATACATGTACATGGTGAAAAATATAAACTTAAAGGATGTGAATGGTGACATGTCCGCGGTCCATACTTTCAGTTCCTGAAAGGGCAGATGGACCCTCATTAAGCCTGGAGTACATACAAATATAAGCTATTCAATTTAATTCAAATTAAAATCCCTTTCAGATATCATAATAAATAATGTATACTAATTGCTTACTTTGCTCCTGTATAGGTATGGTACATTGTGAGAGTAGAAGTCCAGGAGAAGACAAGCTGTTATTGGGGTGTGCTGATGGAACTTTGGTATGTTTTATGAGGTTCTTATAATTTCATTTGTTCAATGCTATTTTGGAATATTCTTTTTGATATACCCCGGTATCAACATTACCCTCTTTGCTAAAGATGTTTGTAGAGAAATCACTTTTGAAAGAAGTCAGAAATCACATTGTTTTTAGCTCGACTATTCGCAGAATAATCGAGCTAATGCAGTCACCCATTTGTCGGCGTCGGCGTCGGCGTCCCTGTGGTTAAGTTTTTGTATGTAAGCTGGTATCTCCATAACTACTGATGGGAATGGATTGAAACTTCACACACTTGTTCTCTGTGATTATCTAAGATGATTGGCACAAGTCCCATAACTCTGATTTGCTTTTTTTCACAATTATGCCCCTTTTTCGACTTAGAAATTCTTGGTTAAGTTTTTGTATGTAAGCTGGTATCTCCATAACTACTGAAGGGAATGGATTGAAACTTCACACACTTGTTCTCTGTGATTATCTAAGATGATTGGCACAAGTCCCATAACTCTGATTTGCTTTTTTTCATAATTATGCCCCTTTTTCGACTTAGAAATTCTTGGTTAAGTTTTTGTATGTAAGCTGTTATCTCCATAACTACTGAAGGGAATTGATTGAAACTTCACACACTTGATCCCTGTGATTATCTAAGATGATTGGCACAAGTCCCATAACTCTGATTTGCTTTTTTTCATAATTATGCCCCTTTTTTTGACTTAGAAATTCTTGGTTAAGTTTTTGTATGTAAGCTGTTATCTCCATAACTACTGAAGGGAATTGATTGAAACTTCACACACTTGTTCTCTGTGATTATCTAAGATGATTGGCACAAGTTCCATAACTCTGATTTGATTTTTTACATAATTATGCCCCTTTTTTGACTTAGAAATTCTTGGTTAAGTTTTTGCGTGTAAGCTGGTATCTCCATAACTACTGAAGGGAATGGATTGAAACTTCACACACTTGTTCTCTGTGATTATCTAAGATAATTGCCACAAGTCCCATAACTCTGATTGCTTTTTTACATAATTATGCCCCTTTTTCGACTTAGAAATTCTTGGTTAAGTTTTTGCATGTAAGCTGGTATCTCCATAACTACTGAAGAGAATGGATTGAAACTTCACACACTTGTTCTCTGTGATTATCTAAGATGATTGGCACAAGTCCCATAACTCTGATTTGCTTTTTAACATAATTATGCCCCTTTTTCGACTTAGAAATTCTTGGTTAAGTTTTTGCATGTAAGCTGGTATCTCCATAACTACTGAAGGGAATGGATTGAAACTTCACACACTTGGTCTCTGTGATTATCTAAGATGATTGGTACAAGTCCTATAACTCTGATTTGCTTTTTTTGCATAATTATGCCCCTTTTTCGACTCATGAATTCTTGGTAAAGTTTTTGCATGTAAGCTTGTCTCTCCATAACTACTGAAGGGAATGTATTGAAACTTGAAGAGTTTGTACCTTTTCGGACAATTTTATGTATTCATATAGGTAAGCATAATTATACTCAATGAAACACCCTTGTGACAAATTTTCGAATAGTCGAGCGTTACTGTCCTCCGACAGTTCTTGTTGTTGTATGAAGTTAAGTTGTGATAATGACTATTTATAGTTAATGCCACCAATATGTAGCCAATGCTAGGTTGTTCATCCTTGCAGTTTGGCCAAGCTCTACAATGTTATTGTTTTACATTGACTTCACTCAAACTCCAAAAAGACAGTCCCATTTCAAAGCTGGACAAGTTCAATATCTAACATAGTCATGTTAAGGATTAAGATGTCTCATTGTTTGAGGTTCAAATAATGATATGATTAAAGTCACATTTAATTTTAAAATGAATGTTTAGCGGTAATTCAAAATAATGTACATGTTATTATAAGCTATAGATTTTAATAAGATTTATATATTATATAGGTTGTATATGATGAAAACAGAAAGATAACACAGATGAACAGAGCTGGACTTGTAAGTATATAGAGGATATTTGTTTGTTTTGCATGTAAGATCAAATATATTTCACAAAGTGAACACCAGATCATATATTTTTCTGTGAAATTATAAAAGCTAATTTCACTGTTCACTGAAAAGCATGGAATAAAAGCTGATCCTCCATGAGTGTTAGCAGCAGCAGTTATACACTCATGCCACTAGTATAGATCTAGGTCAGCCTGTGTGTCCAGGTAGTCTCCTGTTGGCTGCTTGATTTTAAGATTTTGATGTTGAAATGGCGGAAACTGCCATTGGTCATTTTACAGATTAAATGCAGGTGAAATGCATTATATAAATTCAAACGGAATGAATTTATCTTTTAATGTAATGTATACTTGTATTATCATTAATTTGCATAGCCTTTGTCACAGGGTGTGAAAGATTGAGTCAGGAATGGACACAAACTCTGACCCTCTAATTACTGTCCTAGGTCTCTACCCATTGAGCTATTCAGTCACTAACACATCTTCTGGCATTTTAGTGGACAGTTCTATACTGTGACACTTAGTAGAAAACATTTCTATGAATACAAATTACAGCTATTGTTTATTATGATTAGCCATTAGTAAGTGAACTTAAAAATTTAATTGCCAACAAATCTCACGATTATATAATGATCATATTAAAATACAATTGTAGGTACCCAGTCTAGCAGCATGGCATCCCACTGGTACAATATTCTTTGTTGGAAGTAACAGAGGCGATATACAGGTGTGTTCTCTTGTGTATTTTTATGCCATTGTCAGTGTTTCAACTGTTACATCAAATATTAATTACAATTTATGTATTTACATACTTTAATGAAAGATGTTATTAGCAGTGTTTTGTTTCGAAATAGATAATTTTTAAAAAGCTATAAAATGTTTTTACTGTAAAAAAGGTAGAGGCTATAATTTAAGATTTGTTTTAAGTAAAGGGAAACAACCACAAAATAGTTATGAATTTCTAAATTTGTTAATTCTGCCTCTTACATTTATTTTATATAAAAGGGAAGTAACTAAAAAGAAGTTTTGTTTATCTTTAAAATGTGTTGTTATTTTAGGTGTTTGACATGGCTCTATCACCACTGAAGATACAATTGCTAGCAGAAGAACCTAACCCTCACCGATTTCTGCCAACTAGCAAATTCTTTAAGTGAGTAGCCACATTATTTACTTTTATCCAAGATTATAAAGAAATTCTCCAAGCTCAAACTCAGATCTCAGGTATTTGATTGGTTAGAAACTGCCACAGAATGTACACAGATCAATGGAAATCCTGAGATTTGAGACTGAACTCTGGGGAAAAAGTTTTATAACCTCAAGGCCAGCTTTGAAATTGTAAAATGAGCCTGTTTTGGTTTGCATTGGGAACTAGCTGTTGATAGTTGTAGTAATTATGTGAAAAAGAAATCACTGCAGTAGAGCAGCTAACAGTTTAGAGCCAGGTGATACTGCATGGATAATGATCATGCAGGCTGAACTGGCTCTGTATGTATGGAAAAGTGTTTATTGCAACTACAGTGAAACCTCTACAAAGCCTGTGTATAACTATAACCTCTATATAACAATAGAATCATATCTTCCCATACTAAGATTTAATATTGAATTCAACCTCTCGGATTTCTAGAGGATCACCTCTCACCACCAACCAAAATATTTGATTATGAAAGGGTGACACTCTGCAGAGATAATACTGTATTTATCTAATTGACAGTGATGAAACACATTCGTCAGGACTATTTGATTATAAAATGTGATTGATATAATCTTAAAACTATTGTGATATTTTAATTTGTAAGGAAAACATTGATATATTAAATATTTTACAGAGCACCACCTCCCTTGAGAGAGATACAGTGGTGCCCTTTTGACCCCCAGGCAGCTGACTGGACAGGTGACTACACAGATGCTCTAGCTGTGGTTTATGACAGGTAACCTTTTAAAGATTATAATGTTATCATTATAAGTAGTTTCTAGATATTTATGTAAGGTTGTACATTTTGTGAAGTTATTTACCAAACAGCCCGGCAATCTAGGAGTGGTTTGTAAAAAATCCATTTCTTTGCTTATCCATCTTGTGTTTTCGTTAGTTTTTCTCATGCTGGAAATTTCATCTGCCATGGTAGGGGTGCCCGGGTGCCATATGAGTCATGTGCTTTAAAAGGACATCATTTTGACACATTTCAGAGTGAAACAGCATGACAATGATGATGTCATTTTGTCTGTATGACTGAACTTGTAACTTCATACACCAATTTAAGAAAATACACATAGTAATAATGATGAAATGACATGTTTGTATTTAAAATACATTTATTGAGATAAGCTGTTTAAGATATTGTAGAATATGCAAGAAAAAATATCTGACATGTGTTTGCAGTTCACATCAGAATACCTGTTCCAAGGGTACTCACCCATGTATGGCAACTAGGCTTACCTTGTTTCTATCTCATGGGCAAGATACCCTTCATCTGATGGCAAAACATGACAGATATTGTCATAAATTTTTTTAATCTTGTGTAAAATAATAATTAATAATTAAACAAGTTCTATAGAAAAAAATAATTGCTTGTGATTTTTTTTCATAATTTCTTTTTTCATTAAGACTTGAAAATGATAATTTTGTAAATGTATTGAGAATTATCTTTAAAGACATATATAATTAAAAGGTCTGAAAATTGTATCTCAGCTATCCATATTTCATACTTACAGAGGTCCTGTTGGTGTACTGTTAATGTCACTGGGTGTAGTTAGCAGGGAGAGACTATCTTGTGTAGAACTTGTGAAGGAATATATCAGATCTAAACAGATAGAAGATGTATGTATAAAATGATAATGTACAGTTAATGTATGTTGTACCTGTTTCATGCATGTATGAAAATTTAATAAGTACACATTGTATAAAAGTAACAGCCAAATAATTTAATGAACATCTCTTGACTCTGTATCTGATCTGATCTTATCTTATTTCATGTTGGGTTGTCTTGTCTAATCTTATCAATAGAGGACTGATAACTTTGTGAAAAGGATATTTATTTAATATTATTTTTTTCAAGAGTAATTTCTCAAATAGTTTAAAATTTCTGAATTTAACTGTTTTCTTTGTTACTTCTGTTATTTTCTGTATGTACCTATTTATTTCTGACGGGGAATTGAACTTACCATCTTTCTTCATTAATAAAGCCTGAAAGTCACCATTTAACCTTTTATTGTTTTAATCTAGTCAAAAACATTTTAACTTACTCTCCGAACACATTTGGAGATCACAGTGTTGTACTGAACTTTTGATATGTTACACTTTGATACATCTGTAGTCTTGTGAAGCTATGATTTGGTTTGAGCTTCTATTCAGTAAACAATACCTGTTGATTACCTGTTTATCACTTGTTCTTTGATCTTAACATCCGATGCACGTTTCATCAGCAGATCTTTTCAGCTATTACATGTATTAAACATGACTATTTTAAAACAGGCTGTGGCATTGTTGTGCTCTATGAACTGGGATATAGATGGCACCAGTTGTTATACATGCCTCACTGCTATAGTTACCCACCTCCTCAAGATGCCTCTAAATGCTGAAAGGGAAGGTAACTCAGTTTTATATTGCCTGATACTAAAATGTACTTAGTGCTCTCCCTTACATAAGAAATTGTAATTTGAATTATGAAACATGACATTTATATAAACCTAGGCATAATTTAGAGAAGGTTTTTTTACTGAATATCTATATTAATAGTGAAGAATGACATTCTGGGTACAGAAATCAAAACAAGTTGATATTTAGTATAGCAGTATGATTTCTCTGTTTTATCATGAATGGCAGCTCTGAATTTAGCCATTAAATTGTGAATTTTAAAAATAAGCATGTACTTGTCTTGACTTATTTATTACCTCTCTTCAGTTGACAACTCAATTAAGAAAATCTAATTCTAAACATATCAAGATCATCCAAGAAAAGAACATGAAACGAGGCTAAATGAACAGAATAAGCCATTTTAATTATTTTGTAACATTCATAAACTTCTGATAATTTATGGTTTTTGCCTTTTAAATTACAGTTCATCTGGAAACTGCACTTGGTACATTCTATCTTCCGAAGAGACCGCTATCAGAGATGACCATATTGGATTATAGAGATCCAATTAGCAGGCTGGCTAGACGATTCTTTCATCATTTACTAAGGTGATCATTAGGCATAATTTTATATATTTGTTTATCATTGCTAGACATACATATCTGTTTATCATTACTCAACATACATATTTGTTAATCATTGCTACACATTCATATTTGTTTATCATTGCTAATCATACATATTTGTTTATCATTTCTAATCATACATATTTGTTTATCATTTCTAATCATACATATTTGTTTATCATTGCTAATCATTCATATCTGTTTATCATTGCTTATCATACATATTTGTTTATCATTACTAATCATACATATTTGTTTATCATTGCTAATCATACATATTTGTTTATCATTGCTCAACATACATATTTGGTTATAATTATTCGGCATAATATTTGTTTTGTCATTCTCGACATACATATATGTTTATCATTGCTAAACAAACATATTTTTTTATCATTCTCAATAAATATATTTGTTTATCATTGCTAAACAAACATATTTTTTTATCATTCTGAACATATATATTTGTTTACCATTGTTCGACATAATTATGTACTAGTTTAAAGTAATCTTGCTTTTTTTTTTCTGGCAAGACTGATGGAATTGATAACTTTTCGAACTTCAAAATTTAATGTTTATATATTTTCAGATATGCAAGGTTTGATAAAGCTTATTTGCTCGCTGTGGATATTGGTGCTAGAGATTTGTTCATGGTATGTTTAGTTTATTTAACTTTTGTTATGAATTGAAAATAAGTTTATCTTAATTATGCCATTCATAAATTGATTGATTGAAAACATATAAAATTTAACCTAGGCCAAAACTGTGGCATAACATCTTTATACTAAAAGTATGAGCCTTCATATTTGGATCTCAGGAGCCCAGTATACTCTGACACAATATTTAACACATTTAGACTTGACCTTGATTGATCCAATTGAGTACATTTACTTTGATTGGTTTATACAGAATTTATTTTATTTCGATTGTGTAGGAAGCTATAAGCTTAAAGACACACTTTAGAATCCTTCCTGGAACTAACCAGTACTGAGCAATGAGTGTACAGTTTCTTGCTCAAGGAAACAACGACTTGCCCCTGATGGGGTTTGAACCCATGCATTTACTTTGATTTTCAAAGGTAAAGAAGAATTTTATATTGTGACTGTTTTGCAGGATATTCACTATATGGCACTGGACAAGGGAGAGAATGCTTTAGCTGAGGTGGCAAGGAAAAAGGCAGAACAAGTTGATTCAGAATCTCTAGGTTAGCCAGTATATAAATAGTATCAATTTACACATTGTGTGCTTGCTAGCATTATCAAAAGCCTTCACCTCCGGTATAGAAAGTTAATCCAGTCTGTACATCTGGTATAAAATGTGAAACCAGTCCATTTGTGCAGTCTGATATCACAATTCACTGTTTGTTGTGGATTTTTATTTTGATACTTTAATCCATGGAAACTGTTAACACTAATGGACTGTTCCAAATTCAAAGATGGGTAACTCCATTATGCAAGGTTCATAGTGCAAATGCTAGGTTAGTTTGGTAACTAATAACTAGATACACAGGAAAAGTATAATAGTGCTTTGACTTTATACTACATATTACATGCTAAGTTTTAACACTATAGTTATATAGTAATATTTTTAATTTTCAGACAGCTTTGAGGATGAGTTACCAGGAATGGAAGGACATTTCTTCCAGCAACATAATGGTTCAACTGTAAATCTGCAGCGGACAGGATCTGGTAGTAGAAACAGGGAAAATGTTAGTGTGCAGTTATCTATTTTCTTTGAAATTCTTACTTGTTTGAATGATGTATTATTGAATTTGACCATTTATCCTTTAGCTGCTGTCCGTTGCATGAATTAATTGTTTATATGACCAGTAATCTGTGAAGACGGACTCTGCTACTGTATTTGATCTTTTTGGAATCCTGCATGCATCTTTAATTACTAGCCTCAATTTTTATAATTTACATAAATAAGTACTATATATATGTATGATAAAAGAATAAAGAACGCTTTTACCCTAGTAGCTTTCCTTTATAAGAGTTAATATTCAATGTTTGGCTTGCTGTCCTACAGATTCCGGCATCAAGACAACATCCTTGGCAACAGGATCAAAGGTCACCACAGGTCACTAGAGCTCCATTGACCTTTCAACAAAGTTCATCAGGTGGTCAGTCTGATCAATCTCATAATGCTTCACCTAGAGTATCAAATAATTCATCACAGTCAGGTCAAAGGTCAGGCAGAAGAAGAGTGCAATATAGTGACCAACAAATGTAAGTTATTTTTTTATAAGGTGAAAACTACAGATTCTGTTCAAGTATCTGTGTTTGAGAATGAATAATGAGATAGAAGTCCATTCAAGACAACATAATTTTTGCTTTGTCAATGAAAATGTAATTATGTGTCCATGTGGTGTAAGGTTAGACATATTAATTTTATTCTATGATTTCTGTCTTGTCTGAATGTTACAAATTGTGTCTGGTTTTTTGTTTAAATTTTCATTCCTTGAAAACTTTGTGTAGAAATATTCACAATTATATGAGATAATGTATCACATACTTCATCTTGGTCTCATGACAGAATTGTTTCGTTTAAATAAATGTTCTAAATCTATTCGTTTGTTGATATAGACCCAACAACAGTAGTTGTACTTTTGATAATGATTTTTAGCTTGACTATTCAGCAATATACTCACCCAGATGTTGATATCACAACTTGGTTAAACTTTTAGTATGAGTTGTAATCTTCAAAACTACTAAAGGAAATGGGTTGAAACTTGACACACATATTTTAGAGCATATATTATAAGTGGTAACTGTCTAAGACATGGATTTTGACAGAATAATGGCCCGTTTTGAAATCACAAAATTTTGATACCTCCTTTTGACATTCTTTTTAGGCTTATTCCTTCTTTATATTTAAGTATATTTTAATTGTCAAGCGTTTGCAAAATTGTCTACACGGATATGAAATAACTAAGAAACATTGAATTGTCACATTTTGTATTGTATTGTATTTTACGGCACTGAAATGACATTTATTGATTTTAATCCGAATGAATTTTGAATATTAATTCTTAAACAAGTATAGTATTTACCAAAAATTGCAAAACATATTAAAAACAGAAAGAAGAACCATAACTTCAAAAATGTTGAAAATAGTAATGAATAAGAAATGTACATACGTTGTCTCGATATTACAACACGTAGGGTATTTAGATATTATAAATCCGTAGTTTACCCTATTTCACTATAACGGCCGGTGTAACTAATTCATAGAAACGAGATTAATTTAATCACATCTTACTGCGTACATCTCACGGAATTTACCGAACATTTATCTAATATTAATATATTCTGTGCATTGACCGTATAATCAGTATGGAATTGACAGGTTAATAAAATCAAACAATAAATATAAATTTATTTATAAAAAGCATTATGAAAACATTGTTAATAGTTCATTTAGTCATTTACATGTATCTCCCCTAGACAATAATAGTGCATCATTTTATAAAACAAAATACAGAAATTAAAATAGCATACCTATTCTAAACTATTTTAGATTATATCCTTTGTGATTATAAAACTCTTTCTGAATTGTTATTTGAATTTATGAATTAAAAGGCTTTTTGAGTAAAAGGATTAAAAGGCTTTTTGAGTAAAAAAGTAAAGAAAAGCTTTTAACCATACGGTATTCATCAGATAAACGTATCTGTTCTTTGATGTTAAAGTTTTTCATTGTTATAATATTTCAGGAATCAAGACTTTGATGGTATAGATTTAAATTCTGATTTTATAAGAGATTACACAGCAGCACTGAATGAAGGTGGAACTTCAAACCAAAGTAATGGGCAACAGGTTAGATATTATTGTTTCCGCAATTTTAGGCATTATTCTTTCCATATTTTATTCCTTTGATTTATACAATAAGAATTTGCTCTTAATGTTATCCTAGACAAATTCTCATTTGTTTGCCTTTTTTGTGAATTATTTCTCAAGTATAAAAGCAGAATCAAATTAATAAGAAAGTAAAAATATATCAGAGCTTTGCAAAGTGTATGACTTACAAAATAGTTAATAATATATCAATGTGACATTTGTATAAAATATGGAATCACCATTTATAGGGAATGAAACAAAAAAGATACTTAATTAAATCATGCGTTGCTACATTAATTAATCCCTCGGTGTTAAATTATGTTCCTTGACAATTAGATAAGTGTTAATTAACTTCAAGTTAATGAAACTAAATTTGATTATTAAAATTGCCATAAAGGACCTTCATCGTGTTATACATAGGAAATTTGTTTATTTAATTTAGGGTGCCTTGTAAAATAATATTAAAGCATGGTATGGTGTTCTGATGGGCAGTTATATAATCACAAGGTTGTTAGGTCTGAACGATTAATTACAAAGAATTTTAGCAATTTTGAAGTATTTCTTTTTCAAATGCATCGTTGTATAATATAGCACCGTATGGAGTTCATATGCTCAGTAATATAATCACAAACATCTTTATTTTTGTACTGGGGGGGAATTAGAACAGTGTGTGCATTGCATACCTTCAGCCTTCATTACTTATACAAATGTACAGTAAAATCTCTAGAATTAAAATCTCTAGAATTAATGTATTTAAATGGACAAGCTTTATTTAGGTATAACATTGTATTCCACATGTATGACACAGCTAAATTGTTAAAATCTGCATGGTTAAAATGCATTAGAGCATACATATATTATGGAAATCAGGAAAAAATACCAGTAAAAAGAGAGTCTGGTTTAGAGGGGGACAGTTTAGTGGGGGACAAGCATTATCCTACTGTATTAAAGTAAAATTAGAACAAACAGTAATTGAATTAATGTCTTGTTTATTTCAGGAGGATGGAAGTAATGTGATCCATTTTGGTGTGGTATAATCTCAGGATGTATATACATAATATTTACTGTAACATTTCTGTGATATTCACCGTCCATATTTGACATTCCAGTTGGGACATTTATACTTATTTTTATACATAAATATATCTTTATTTTTTATTATGAAATATGAGTAAAGTTATATGTAACTTACAATGATGGTTTAAATATTGCATTTTTGTATTGATGTGTTCAAAGACCTTGAGAGTATGCCATTTAATATTCAAGCACTTTGGCATCGATGTTAGTATTCTTTAGTATACATGTATTTAAATCCAAGCATAAATCTTATACTGGACATTATGAGATATATAAGAGATTTTTTTTCTAATTTTTTAGTTTGGGTAAACATGTATATAGCTGAGTACATGGGTCAATAGGATCCAAACTGGAATTAAATTAATGAAGTTTAATAAAAAATGACAATAAGCTGATGAGGTTCTTAGATATCATGACGGGATATGTTTCATAAATCAAGAATATATATTTATGGAGATTTTTTGAAGTTTTTAAAGATAAAGCTTAATTAGGAAAAAAAAGTGTTACACTTCTGAGGCTCTTGAAATTATAAAGGCAAAAGACTGAGAGCTCATGTATGTTGTAAGAATTTTGTAGGAGTTTTCAATAAAAAGTAGAAGATATGTCTTTCTTTTATTTTGAAAAAAAACCCAAAAAACAACACTTTGATATTGCATTCTCCTTAATAAGCTTATTAGTGGTGTTCTTACTTGATTGTCAAGAAACTTCCCCCACACCTTATGAAAGAACATCTAATTAAAGATCTGTAATCTGAACACATTAATGTTTTCTTTCCTGTATAGAATCCTGAACTGCCGAAAAATACTTGGACATAAGTAAGATTTTGAGGTATTGAATAAAATGTAAATACTCCCAATGTCTTTAAAACATTAAATATCAACTTTTATCTGTTAAATACCAGCAGTAAATGTGAAGTCTGTGATATAACAAAGTCTTTGCAAAGAGGTCACTTTACATTTTGCTGTGTCTAAAATCTATAAAATTGCAAGAGACAGATTACAGCCTTTAGCCAGACAAGTTCTTTACACATAAAGGGGAAACATATTTAAATTATAAAAAAAGGTCGCATTACATTTTTAGCTCACCTGTCACAAAGTGACAGGGTGAGCTTTTGTGATCGCTTTCCGTCCGGCGTCCGTCCGTCGTCCGTCCGTCCGGCCGTCCGTCCGTCCGTCCGTAAACTTTTACTTTAAATGACATCTCCTCATAAACCACTAAGCCAATTTCATCCAAATTCACGGAATGTTCCTTTGGTGGTCACCTTTTTAAAAATGTTCAAAGAATTTAATTCCATGCAGAACTCGGTTGCCATGGCAACCGAATAGAAAAAACTTTAAATTCTTCTTTTTAAAAAACGAAAGAGCTAGAGCTTAGATATTTGGCATGAAACATCTTCTAGTGAGTGTCTACCAAGATTGTTCAAATAAAAGGCCTGGGTCAAAAATTGCCCCGCCCCAGGGGGTCATTGATTTTCCCTTATATGTATATAGTAAAAACTTAAAAAATCTTCTTTTAAAGAACTCAAAGAGCTAGAGCTAAGATATTTAGCATGAAACATGTTCTAATGGGTGTCTTTCAAGTTTGTTCAAGTAAAAGCCCTGGGGTCAAAATTGGCCCCGCCCCAGGGGGTCATTGATTTTCCCTATATGCATATAGAAAAAACTTTAAAAATTTTCTTTTAAAGAACCCGAAGAGTTAGAGCTTAGATATTTGGCATGAAACATCTTCTAGTGAGTGTCTACCAAGATTGTTCAAATAAAAGCCCTGGGGTCAAAATTGGCCCCGCCCCAGGGGGTCATTGATTTTCCCTGTATGCATATAGTAAAAACTTAAAAATCTTCTTTTAAAGAACTCATGGAGCTAGAGCTAAGATATTTAGCATGAAACATGTTCTAATGGTTGTCTTACCAAGTTTGTTCAATAAAAGCCCTGGGTCAAAATTGCCCCGCCAGGGTCATTGATTTTCCCTATATGTATATAGTAAAAACTTAAAAAATCTTCTTTTAAAGAACCAAAAGAGCTAGAGCTAAGATATTTAGCATGAAACATGTTCTAATGGGTGTCTACCAAGTTTATTAAATAAAAAGCCCTGGGGGTCAAAATTGGCCCCGCCCCAGGGGGTCATTGATTTTCCCTATATGTATATAGTAAAAACTTAAAAAATCTTCTTTTAAAGAACTCAAAGAGCTAGAGCTAAGATATTAAGCATGAAACATGTTCTAATGGGTGTCTACCAAGTTTGTTCAAATAAAAGCCTTGAGGTCAAAATTGGCCCCGCCCTAGGGGGTCATTGATTTTCCCTATATGTACATGTATATAGTAAAAACTTAAACAATCTTCTTTTAAAGAACTCAAAGAGCTAGAGCTAAGATATTTAGCATGAAACATGTTCTAATGGGTGTCTACCAAGTTTGTTCAAATAAGAGCCCTGGGGTCAAAATTGGCCCCGTCCCGGGGGTCATTGATTTTCCTTATATATGTGTATATCAAAAACTTAAAAAGTATTCTTTGAAAAAACCTAAATAGCTAGAGTTAAGATATTAAGCATGAAACATCTTCTAGTGAGTGTCTACAAAGTTTGTTCAAATAAAAGCCCTGGGGTCAAAATTGGCCCTGCCCTGGGGTCATTGATTTTCCTTATATGTGTATAGAAAAAACTTAAAAAAACATCTTTGAAAAAACCCAAATAGCTAGAGTTTAGATATTAAGCATGAAACATGTTCTAGTAAGTGTCTACAAAGTTTGTTCAAATAAAAGCCCTGGGGTCAAAACTGGCCCCGCCCCAGGGGTGTCATTGTTTTTAACTATATGTGTATAGTAAAAACTTAAATCAAAGTGCTGCAGCACTGAATGCGACGGACATGCAACTGGATAGACATTTTGGCTTTTTTTAGAAAACAACAAACAAAAATAAAACAGAAAATATATAACAGAGAAAATTTGTTCCATACAAGTTCGAGATTTTTAGAGCAATATATTTTGTGTCCCAATCTGATATATAGCTAATTCAGACTTTCTACTTTCAAGCACAGCATTTAAATACAGCATGAAATTTATGCCTAAAAACTCTGGTCAAACTTGTAAATCAGTGTCCTTATCGATTTATTCCAAGAAATGATATGTAAATAGAAAAAAAAACTGTCAACGAAATATTTCTAAAATAAAACCATGCAAATAAAGCATAATATATTATACATGTGAGAATGTTATTTAGAATTGCTTCGTGTTATAACATAGTGGGCATATAGACAATAAAATTTAAGTCATTTGTATTTTTATTTCTCTTGGATATGTCTCATTAAAAATATTTTTGGTTAAAATCATCAGCAATTAATAGAATCTAGTGTATTTTTCAAGATATTTTTTATTTACAAGGGCCAGCTAGAGCACATAGTTTTTATTTTAATTTAAATGTCACTTAAGCACTACGGTGTTTAGTTGTCTTTTCATTTTCACACTAAATTCCATTTTCAACTTGTTTGCTTCTCACAATAATTATTGTATAGAATTTCTAAAAGTATTGCATGTAAACAAAGTAAGTATCCACTGGTTTCTTACATGCACTAATCGCCTGTCCGAAAATCAGCACAGGTGCAGCGCAGAATCTATTTTTAGAATAGCGAAGGTTTACTCATATCGTGACCTAGAAAAATATGTAAACAAACCACAAGAATCGGAAGTAGAACTGATATTATAACTTCCTTTAATAAAGATTACCATGAAAGACTACATGGTGGTAAAGTGTTGAAAACCCCTCTTGTTTCATGCATTTTCAAAAACAGATATTTATACTAACCATTGTACTGTATCTAATTTATTAATAACTGCTGAATATTCAGCTAAACCCGCGGTATGAGTCACGAAAATAGTTCTTCTTTTATTAATGCGCGAGTTATTCTAGAGTCACGAAAAACTTTTGATTTGTTAATAATAATGTTTTGTATAATGTAGAAATATTTATTTCCTACTAATAATTTCTTGGAACTCAGAGCTTACACCTTTATTATAGTATAATTTGCTGTCCTACTTTTTCGACAGCAGTAAATCGTTTCGGCAGTAATTTGCATATTGCGCAATAATACTACGGGACTACAACGTTTTTATCAATCATTTACGTTCATATTTTAACTTCGATAACTTAATTTGAAATTGAAAAGGCTAAATATGGAAGATTTTAAGATATCCCGACAAAGTATGGGAGTTTTAAAGGATAAAATTCATGTACTATTTCTTGGGCTGTTAATCGGTTGAGGACACTTTGCGCGAGTGTAGCAGACGAAATCCCATGTAGATGACTTAGCTCTGAACGCGCCTGAGGGCGCGTCCGTCGCAAAAATCTTCTTTAAAAAACACAATGAGCTACAGCTTAGATGTTTAGCATGAAACATCTTCTTATGGGTGTCTACCAAGTTTGTTCAAATAAAAGCCCTTGGTTAAAATTGGCCCTGCCGGGGGTAGGGGAGGGCAGATCATTGTTTTTCATTATAAGTGTGTACATCATGAAACGTCTTCTTATAGGTGTCTTCCAAGTTTGTTCAAATAAAAGCCCTGGGGTTTAAACTGGCCCCGCTCCGGGGGCCTACATACAGGTGAGCGACCTTAGGGCCATCATGGCCCTCTTGTTTTCTGTATTGTCTGAAAAGACAAAATAACTGTCTTTTTCCTGTTTCATTATTGATGTGAACAGCCATCCCTTTGGTACACTTCAATATTGTTCTCTTTAATATTGTTAAGTATTGTTCAAGATTAATGTGAGTGACTATTAATTACCCATATATGTTTTATGGAAAGATTTTTCCAGACTTAAAACTGAAATAAATGTGTCTGGTCTGTACACTTCTTTTGGTATATACTTGTTCCGAAAACACGATAAAGAAGTCATTAGTCAAATAAGAGTAAATTAAAATGATAGTGTGATCTATACTATCACTTATTTTGCACGAATCATCCAATGATAACACTTATCTTGCTGATAGCAAAGGTTTCTATTCATTCAATTAATGCCCAACAAGACCAACCGGCACATCTGTCAATAGTTTATATTGTTCGCTGTTCAGCCAGTGCATATTTTGAAAATTTCCCTAAAAATTGAAAATGGCCTTGTCCAGACTAAAAAATGAATGAGTCAATTTATGATTATCAGCGAAGTAATGGTTCAGAAAAAAATCCTTTCATTACAAACATGACAAAGAAAATTCTCGTCTACTGACGGCAGTCTTACTAAAAATGATTGCATTTTGTAACCTGAGATCAGCTTTCAGTGTTTCCGTCTAGACTTGGAAATCATAAATATGTAAACACTATCACTTGTGTTACATTTCCTTTTGTTGCCATGGTTACAGTGCGTACTTGTCGGCAATTATAAAAGAAAAGTTCATATTTCATTTAGCAGTTTTAGTCATGACTTGCAGTTTTCAAGTCACTTAAATAGATTAAGAATTTCGCTATGTTATTTACATACAGTGCAAGAAAATTTCGAAATATTTTCCTTTTAAGCATTCAATCGATTAGGGCAGTGAGAATATCATACTTTCACCTGAAGTATAAACTAATAAATTAACTTAGAAAATACACGTTGGTTGTTAACACATTAATTTGACAA